GTGTGATCAAGGCCGTTGACAAGAAGGCCTCCTCCGGTGGCAAGGTGACCAAATCCGCACAGAAGGCCGCCAAGACGAAGTGAACTCTCCTTCCCCAGGCTGTCCCTCCAGGCCTGGGGTCTGCAGTGCCCCACCCTGCAGTGTCTCAGAACCTGAGCTCTATCCTAAAGGACTGGCTAATGCTGATCAAAACCCATCGCAAAAGTTTTCGCAGGAAAAGAATCTAAATGGGATACATCTTGTGGCAGTGTCAAACTTAAAGTGACAGTGCATCTGTTAAATTTCAGTTGCTATGGTTTTAAAAAGCTGCACCTATTGCCACAGTTTAGAATTGGATGGAAGCTGCTGATAACTAATAAAGGTGAATTTCATGACTAATCAAATCTCTGCCTTGTCCGAATTACTTGCCGTTTCATAGTATTGCGTTTCTGCTGTGCTGCCTTGCTAATCCTTACATGTAGCCCACGTGTCTGCTGGTGACTGTCGCAGACAAGTGTTCGGTTCCCCGAATATTTAGCCAGCCAATGGCTGCGATGCTCTGATGCTGTGACCAATGATGTAGCGCACGAGCTCGCATTCCAGCTGCGTCGCCCGCTCCCTGCTCCTGACGCCCCCCGCCGTGCCGGTATAAAATGCGCTGAGGAGCCATAGTCGGTCCTTTCTCCGCTCTTATCCTGGAATATCTGCTGGAAAACCTTATTACAGGTTTGTAGGGGGATTTCTTAAACGGATGCATTTGACATGCGGTATGATGCTATCCTCGTTACTGATTTGTTAAACCAGCGTCTGCCTTGGGTTAAGCGTTTCCGCTTTTCCCTGCATTACGACTTTTTAAAGGGAAAATACCTCCGTAGACCTTGACATTGAAGCGTATGGTGGTCTGGAGGGGAGCTTATGGCGTCATTTGTCTACTTTTGATTTAAGCAGCCGTGGGCGGCAGTTTTCATATAGCCTCATTCCTTTTATATAATTCTAAAACGAGTCTCATTCTAAATCTTATTCCGGGCGAATCGCTCTGAATGACGCTTTCATTCTGTGGCAAGTGCTAGGAGGCATGTCATCAAATTTAATGTATACAGTTGGGGAGAAACGAAGAAGAGCGACCCTGAACGCCGATTGCTTTGCCCTTTTTTCTGAATGTTATGATGGCGCTAGCTCGGCTCCTCTGTGATTATATCACCCGGGGCCGGACGCATGGTGGTGATCGATTTTACTGACTGGCAGCACTTAACATGGCCGGTCTGTGCGCACTCCGGCTCAACATGGAGGGCGGCGGGAGGAGGAGGAGGAGGCGGGGACACTAAGAGTAATGAACAAGTTATTCCAATAATCCGTATAATGCTCAGATTTTATTTCTGTTTACTCCTCCAACCAAAACTGTAGTTACGTCTTTGGCTTATATGGGTTTTGTTTATGTGATCAGCTGGATTTACGGGTGCTCATATAGCCAGTTATGTATCTCATTTTAGTAAGTAAAAAAACATGGGGAAGGAAAAGACCCACATCAACATCGTGGTCATCGGCCATGTCGACTCTGGAAAGTCTACGACCACCGGGCACCTTATCTACAAGTGTGGAGGCATCGACAAGAGAACCATCGAGAAATTCGAGAAGGAAGCAGCAGAGGTGGGTATTTCCTCTGCGGAGGGGGGGGGGGGGGACAAAGGAGCTGGGACTTGGCAGCGGCTGCCTGCGTGCATGCGGGGCGTGACTGCGCAGACCGGCGGCATCCGGTGCAGCAGCGACACCAACCGGCCGACGGCGTTCATTACAAGTTGATTACGACTATAGACGCTTCTTGTGTTACGTAAAATGCTCGCTGAAGATTTTCCCTATGCTGTTATGTAACTCCTGCATTTTTTTGTTTTAACTTATATACTTGGAGTAATTAAGGACCTATACCAGAAGGCATGAAGAGCGGAGCTTAGGATAGACAAGACGCCACTCGATCGCTGATAATATTTAAATATTTTAATCCCCAGTATAAATAGTATTAATAAAGTAACCTTAATTATATTGATGTAAGTGAGCGATACTTAATAGAACCTTTTTAACTTTAAATATTGTTGTCGTAATTTATGTCACATTCTCTGTGTGTGGATGTCAGTAATTTGACATATATGTTATCGTGTCTTAATCACGTTATCTGCTGGTAAAGGGTGTCACCCCCTAATGCATTTTAAATATCATCTATACTTTTTGCACAGAATGTGGATCCTATGACAGGACACATTGGGCACGGTGCAGGAGACACCTGGACAGGGTGGCAGACCATTGTGAAGCACACACTCATTCACATCAGGGGCAGCTTAGAGACACCATCATTTCATAATTTTTGGAGGAAACCAGCACGAAAATAAGTAGTACATGTGAGCTCCACCCACACAGAGCTTGGGGGGGGGGGCAGGATGGGGCTGAGCCCCCAGCCCTGGAGGTGTAAAGCTAACCACAGACATTTGACACCCCCACAAAATTTAATAACCAAATAAGCCCATTTTATATTCGAACCACTCAGACACACATGATTTCTGAACCTCACATACGACGGTACGATTTTTCCTTGGAAATATTCAGACCCCCTTGAGTGGCACTGTACTGGAAGGCAGAAGCCTTGGTCATGACGAGGCGAAATCAGCTTTGGGAGAGCTGTGTGTGTGTGTGTGTGTGTGTGTGTGTGTGTGTGCTGTTTTTCACTCCTCATCACATGTCTGCTCTAGATTAGTGCAAATATGTGCCTGTTTGCATTTTTAAACTACCAAAAAAAGCAGAATTAAACTCCGGATGGAGCAAGAGCTTTTAGTGTACACAGCAAAATGTAGTCACATTGCTTGGGCACTTTTTAGAAGAAAAAAAAAATCAGTTAAACATTAAAAAGAATGAGGGAAGATTGGAGTAAACATCTATTATGAATCTCTTAATCTCAACCAAGCCCATTAAATTAAAATGTCCATCCATTTTTTAAAATTAATACTTGACCAATGTAAAGTCACCACAGCGTATCCTTGGTGGCACAGGGCAGATTTGAGGACACTTTACAGTGATAGGTTTACCTGAAAGGCATGTCTTTGGTCTGCGGGAGTAAGTCCACACAAAAACGCAGCCTGTGGCCACGGAGCCGGACGGAGGTTCACCAGCAGACCCATGGAATATTTGGTTCTGCATCTGAATGGTTTAAGATGCAGTATTTTTACATGTATTAATACCAAATGCAAATGTAAAATCTGGCATCTAAAAGCATGAAAAGGAATATGACCCTTTGGCCTACATTACATGCATAGGGGTGAAGCTTCTGTGCATGTGATCTGATGGTTGTTGGTTCGAGCCTGGTCTCAGCAGAATAGTCATGCCTGTGGGCCCTTAAGCACGGCCCATAACCCCCAGCCCCCACTGCAGGTGGCCGCCCTTCGCTGCCAAGCTTGCTGTCACCTACATATGTGTCATGGAGAGCAGGATGGGGTAGGCGGGAAGAGAATTTCCCCGCAGGGATCAGTAGCATCATTATTATGTTTTCAGATGGGCAAAGGCTCCTTCAAGTACGCCTGGGTGCTGGACAAGCTGAAGGCCGAGCGTGAACGTGGTATCACCATCGACATCTCCCTCTGGAAGTTTGAGACCAGCAAGTACTACGTCACCATCATCGATGCCCCTGGACACAGGGACTTCATCAAGAACATGATCACTGGCACCTCGCAGGTAAAGGCGTGGCAGCCGACTAGCTGGAATTCCAAGTTTGGCATTTCTCCCCGCCCCCTGATGCTGATGATGCCTGTCCCCATAGGCCGACTGCGCTGTGCTGATCGTGGCTGGTGGTGTGGGCGAGTTCGAGGCTGGTATCTCCAAGAACGGACAGACCCGTGAACATGCCCTCCTGGCCTTCACCCTGGGAGTGAAGCAGCTCATCGTGGGAGTCAACAAGATGGACTCCACTGAGCCCCCCTACAGCCAGAAGCGTTTCGAGGAAATCACCAAGGAAGTCAGCACCTACATCAAGAAGATCGGCTACAACCCTGCCACTGTTGCCTTCGTGCCCATCTCAGGCTGGCACGGTGACAACATGCTGGAGCCCAGCCCCAATGTGAGTAGGTGGTACCCAACTGAGGGGTTTGGGAACCTGATGATCATACCAGTAGTTGCACATTTACTGACTATTACCTTCCACACCATTTATTCATTCGGTTTACGTTCATATACATATTTAAGATGATTAAGACTTGAATATATAAAATAAATCAAGATGTAACAGGTATGCAGTAAGTACATTCATTTTCAATTATTATTTTTTTATTAGTATTTTTCAAGTGGAAACTAAATTTTAAATATTGGCAAAATGCAGTACCGTCAAATAGATAAAGGTTCTGCCGAGTAAACCGAAGTGGATGTAAAGAAAGTGAATAATAACATTTAAATTCATTTGAATAATGGTGAAATTGTGGCGCAGCCGTGAGACTCTGGCACCTCGCTCACACACCTGTGTCCTGCAGATGACCTGGTTCAAAGGCTGGAAGGTGGAGCGCAAGGAGGGTAGCTGCAGCGGCACCACCCTGCTGGAGGCCCTGGACTCCATCCTGCCCCCTACCCGCCCCACCGACAAGCCGCTCCGGCTGCCCCTGCAGGACGTCTACAAGATTGGCGGTAAGGTTCTGCCAGGCAGCTCTGCAAGGGAGAGCATGTCGGGCACAGATGGGCCCCAGGCCGCGTGGCGACTAGGCACAGAGGACACCTCAGTTTTGTGGTGGAGTGTGAACTTACCCATAATCCTCTGGGACGTTTAGTCACATGACCTGGTAAAAGGTTTCAGGAAATATTTTAAAAATAATAGTAATTCTAATGTCATAACTAACGTATAGTAGTTAATGTATAATAAAGAACCCAGACTTGTGATCACAAGAGAAAACTATGTAGGCAGAATTGCTTTATTAGAAAATTAAAGGCTATAGAGATACTGAAGGCCATTTTTAGTTATGTGCCATGCTGAGGAGATAACTGTTATTGTATAAACGGCCGCCCTGCCCTAGGTATCGGAACTGTACCCGTGGGCCGTGTGGAGACCGGCACCCTCAAGGCCGGTATGGTGGTGACCTTTGCCCCTGCCAACGTCACCACTGAGGTGAAGTCTGTGGAGATGCACCACGAGACCCTGGTCGAGGCCCTGCCTGGAGACAATGTTGGTTTCAACGTCAAGAACGTGTCTGTGAAGGACATCCGTCGTGGTAACGTGGCTGGCGACAGCAAGAATGACCCCCCTCAGGAGGCTGGAAACTTTACGGCTCAGGTGTGGAGTCTATTTTTAAAATATGTCTTTGATGCAAACAACAATGCAAAGGTTGTGGGTTCAGATTGGGGGGGGGTGCACAAATAAATTGTAATCCTTTTCTCTACTGTAAGTCACTTTGAATAAAAGTGTCAGGTAAATCAATAAAATGAAAATGGTGTAGAACTGATGCCAAAAAAGATAATGAATGAGATGTTTGACATTGTATTTCCAACATTACAATGAAGTTTTCACTGAAGAGGAAAAAGTACAAAGCGTCTTCTGTGGAACCAATATGCACTGATATGTTGATGTGGTGTTTGATGATGTCGGAATATTCTGCTCATCTTCTCAGGTCATCATCCTGAACCACCCGGGCCAGATCGCCCAGGGATATGCCCCCGTGCTGGACTGCCACACTGCCCACATCGCCTGCAAGTTCGCCGAGCTGAAGGAGAAGATCGATCGCCGTTCCGGCAAGAAGCTGGAGGACAACCCCAAGAGCCTGAAATCCGGCGATGCCGCCATCATCCTCATGGTCCCCGGGAAGCCCATGTGTGTGGAGAGCTTCTCCGAATACCCTCCTCTGGGTGAGTTACTGCAGGTTGCCCTGGTAGCCTCCATCCTGTGGACTAGTCAGTTGGGTTGAGGTTAAGCGGTTGTGTGGCTTGTGGGTAGCTGACAAATGTCTTGCTTGCAGGTCGCTTTGCCGTGCGTGACATGAGGCAGACGGTGGCCGTCGGCGTGATCAAGGCCGTCGACAAGAAGGCCTCCTCCGGTGGCAAGGTGACCAAATCCGCACAGAAGGCCGCCAAGGCGAAGTGAACTCCCCCCTCGGACGTCGCTGCGCCTACCCCAGGCGTGTCTAAGAAGCTGAGCTCTCTACTGAAGGACTGGCTAATGCTGATCAAAACCCATCGCAAAAGTTTTCGCAGGAAAGGAGGCAAAAAATGTTCATTTTAAGAATTACTTGCATTACCGGCAGAATCATAACTATAATAAAATCCATTAGTTGCCATGATGATTAAAGAACATCTGTGTCATTGTGTTCATTGTAAACCGAAGCACCGACCAGACGTGCGGAATAAGGCAAATGCAAAATGGGTGTGTTATTTATGAAACACAAGCCAGGGCTCATTCTGATTCCTCTGGGGGCTTCAGTTGCTGGTCACCAGAGTTTGTGGGGGGGTGTAATGGGGATTAAACAGACAGAAGATAGATGGATATGTTTGTCACTCTATACAGAAGACCAGAGACTATTGCTGACTGATCCTATAGATATTTTTAAAGAGTCAAATGTCAAAAGTAAACCTGTCTTGTTTTTTAAATGACTTCAAGAGTGACCCCCCCCTCCCCCCATCAGACCAGGACCCAGCTGCATTGAGCCCCTTGAACCCCTCTCAATGCAAAAAAGTGGGAAGATAGAAAGCAGTGTTTCCCAATCTGGCCCCAGACAGTCCACATCTGAATTTTTTTTTTACGGCCTGTCTCGTACGAACAGCACCATAAAGCGAGAGAGCACAAAAACCACCAGTTTTCATTAATGGTAAACACAGGGATTAATAACATTTATTTTCAAAGAGATTTCAAATAGAGGAACAAATTTGAATGAAAAACAAATAAACAAAGAAATTCAAGGCGAGCGACGACTCCGTATGCATGGAGTTACAAATGAGAGGTGAAGCTGGAGCCGCAACTTCCCCTTCTTACAAACCACCAGTGCCTTGGGACTTCGAGACCAGGTGGGATTGAAGGGAGGTGCAACCATGACAAAATAAAGAAATAAAAATACCAAAATCCACAAGCAAAAATGTGGACTGTCTGGCAGCGAGCAGGAAGGGAACAAAATCATGGACTGTCTGTGGGTCGCCGAGGACTGGATTGAGATAAAAAGTCAGATTGATGTTCAGTTTCAATATGAATAGCACTAAGAGTAGACAATGAGTAGCTATGAAGAATAACGCCCTGTACAGAACTTGTGGGCGTGCTGTATTTTGTGTGAGTGAATGTTGACGTCATATTTAGGAAAGAGTCACTTCTCTAACAGGAAGTGCAACTTAACAGGAATGAATATTACTGGAAGTCATTTGCAAAACCTTTTATCTTAAAAGAACACGACGGCAGAAATGGACGGGATGCCTGCAGGTAATGATTCCTTACTTTCTTTTACTAGTCAGCACAGGCAGTGAACTGACATATTCATTGTTTTAGCTCAGATTCATTTCTTTACATACAAATAATTTAATCTGTGATGATGGGGGTATTTAGAAAGCTTTAGTTCTTTTAAAGATGTACAGACCTACCAGGAATAGAAGTCGAAAGAGAGACGGGCGAGACCTCAAAAATGTGAATGAGCGTTTAACAAGAATTGTGCTTAAAAGCAAGTTAGCAGACATTGCTGGTGGCTAGAATACTGGCGCATGACCAGATTTTAACAATTTTTAACCTTTTGTTGGGATACTTATTAATCAGGGATGGGAACGATTCACTGCTTGGTGAGTCCGAGTCAAGTTTTGAGTCAAGTCTTTTGCTCCTCAAGTCTAATTCGAGACCAAGTCTTGAAAGTAATCAAAGTTGTAAGTCATGTAACTGGAGTCTATGTCCTTTTTATCTTTTGTGATTAAATCCTGCTACAGCAAAAACTCACCACAGTCCACCGTAAGACACACTCTTTATAGGCAGAGATTGGTTGAAAAGAGTGTCCACTAAAGATTGTCCTCAGTTTATTTTTAAATTTATTTTCTTAGGTTACTATTTTCCATTAGATTGTTCAAACTAACACTGATGATAGAACTGGAAAGTTTTCATGTGTGAGCGTCCAGTCTGTCTAAAGCCACTGTCACCACTTCATCTCACCTTGTTCACAGATGGTTTGGAGGATTCACAAGCAGAGGGCTCTCCATCAGACGACAATGCCACTTTACACCATTCTATCAAACAGCTGGCCAAACGCCTCACACTGCGTCAGAAGGACAAGAGCTGGGCTTCTGAGACAGTAAATGACTTGCGTAGCAAGTTTCTGGAGTACCTGAAGAATAATGCCCATACCTACTTCCAAGATGTCACTGTGCTCAACAGCGGCAGCTACTATGAAACGGTGAAGGTACGAGAGAGATGCTGTGGGGTGGTCAGGGGTCCTCTGTGGTCAGTGCTCAGGTGTTCAGTGTGACTTTGCAGTGTGGCCTTTACTGCTCAAGTTTGCTCTGAGGGTGTTGGTGGGCAAGTCTACAGTGTGGAGTGGTAGGATCAAAAACAGTGTAGCTGTCAGTAGTCAGGGCTATAGTGAAGTCAGTGTGAACTGTTACTGAAGTCTTACCAGAATCCTTGCCATTTTGCTTGGGAAAATTTAATGTTGATATTTATAAAAATGGAATATACTGGCAATTTGATAGTAACATTTCCAAAGCTGCACTAATATAGCAAATGCCTTCAAATGTCCTCAAGCTTCCTCTGCAGGTCTCTAAAATCCGTATAAGGATATAACCTCTTAGAAGCCGTTTTGCTGGATTTGCATCACATTTGGTATAAATGTATGTTGACTGGAAAGTTGATATGGAAGGATGATGGGGCAAATTCCTTATAGCAATATGAGATTGCCACAAATGAATATCACAGCATTGTTGATGTTATCATTTGGCTGGAATAAAGTCACTTGGTCTCAGCTTCTGGGTTCAGGTTGTGTTGTTGTTGTGTTTTAAGAGTCTGCTTGTGGTATGACTAATGATGCCTCTACAGATCGGCGACCCAGATGAGTTTGACATGATGCTTCTGCTACGGACACCCCGACTCGAATTTACAGAGATTGATAACTTAAATGGGGTGTTCTACAAAGTCACCCTGATTAAACCGACTCGAGAAAGGATACAGGATTTCCTGCTGCAGGATGGCCGCACCATCTCACCTACTAAAGTCCTGGAGGAGACACGCCACCTGGTCTGCAAATTCATTAAAACTTATAACGGTCAGTCTCCAGGGGTCAGGGTTCTAGAGGCGTGGCCATATAGCCCTATCAATAGATCTCTCTTAATACCTAATAGCAATGTAGTAGTGCAGTGGACACTCCAAACACTTTTAGCACATCCAGTCTGGGTGGCTAATGCACCTTACCTATTCATCCATGCACGGCTTCCCAAACCTTTCAGCCCATGACCTCAAAAATAATAGTGCCAGCAACTTCTGACCCCAATTTTTTCACCCTCGGGGTCTCCTTGGTAAATTTATCACAATCGACTAGTTACATACTGGGGGGTGGGGTTTAAATGGCTTCTGCTGCCCAGGGTAATGATTCATCCTGCCCCAGTACATCCTGAAGTAGGATTCTCTACGGATCAATCTGCTCATGTTAAGTTCTGCTTTGCATCTCCCTACGCTGCATGATTTGATGTTTGTCCGCGTGGCTGCTGGTCTTAAAGCTGCAGGTGGGAAGCAAAACTGGACGCTGACCAGGAAGAATCCCAATTCTCCGGCCGTCACCCTGCTGCTGAAGAGAGTCGGAGAGGAGGATAACGAGAGGGGAGGTGAGGAGGAGCTGGAGAGAGTAACGGAGCCAAAGGGCTTGGACACCAGAGAGCAGATCTCTCTAGACATTGTCCCCGCGCTGAAGGTGTCAGAGAATCAAAGCTGGCCCACGGCCACGCGCCAGGGCCTCGACGTGGAGAGGTGGCTGGGGAGGAAGACACGCCGCAACCTCACCAGTCAAGAGTTCTACTTCGTCGCCAAGAAACCCAAGAAACTCAGGAGGAACCTCAGTCCTGATGCCCAGGGTGAGTGTAGTTTGGTGAAAACACATAATGTATCAAAAGAAAAAGCAGGTTTCCACTCTGATGCTCGCGCGGCATGTGTGTGTGTGGGGGGGGGGTGCTCAGTAGGCAGTGCAGCTGTTTTCAGCCTGTAGGCTTGTGGGTTTGAACCCTGCCGGATGGTCTATGGAGAATGGACTCGTTTTTCTTGTTATTCCAGACCAAAGACATACAGGTAGACAAACTGGTGTTAGTATATTGCCCATAATGGGTAGATGAGTGAGTTTGTGCATGTGACCTGTAGGACACAGTAGGGACACTGTAGGGACACTGTAGGGACTACATCTCACGTTTGGCATTGGAACGTCTGGAGATTCCCCAGAATGGACTCCAATTCTTGGCGATGGGCAGAAATGTCTGGTCTGACCTGCTTGGCATGCAGCCACCATGACCTCAACGTGATGATGATCCTTGATGAGGGATATTTCTATGACAGGGTGAAAATTTTAACCTAGCTATTAACAGAGATGTGTCTACCCAGAAATCTTTGCAGTTTCAGCTGCATTTCTCCTGTCCGTCATTCCCGTCTGCTGCCTGCTATATGTGTGGGTGTGTGTGCTTGTTTGCTAGCATTAAATAGCTGTTGTTGCTTCTTTGTCACAGAAAGCTGGAGGATTTCTTTCTCGCACATTGAAAAAGAGATCATAATGAACCACGGGAACAACCGGACCTGCTGTGAGAAGAATGCCTCAAAGTGTTGCCGGTCAGTCTTTGGGTCCAATCCTGGACCGTTCACAGTGTTTCACATCATAATTCAAAAGGCATAATTGGCACAATCCACACCTAAAATTGATCAACAGCATTAAAATACGAAGGTATGAGGATCATATAGGGGTGTGGTGGCTCACTGGCTAGCGACAGCTTCCCACCTGCAGGGTTGGGACTTCCCATCCCTTGGCCGTCTAGGTAGAGCCTTATGTATTTCCCGTATCTGTGCAGCTTTCCCAAGCACTGCTGGCCCATTAATTACCCTTAATGTGTGAGTGTGACCTTTGATGGACTGTCACCCCATCCACAGTGTCTCTTGGCCTATGCCCTGTGCTTCCTAAAATAGGCCCCAACCTCCAGCCACAACCGTGCTTTAGATAAGTGGTTGTGGAAAATGGATGGAGGGATGATACATATAGAAAGGGTTAGTGAGCATTTTATGAATTTATTTTATGGAGGTGAAATATACAGAAGGGTTGTGACCCAGAGCCCAGATCTGGAATTAGAAGTTTTGCTGTAATGGATGAAACTCATACATTCGACAAAAACAATAAATGGTAGTTTGTTTAGGGGGGATTTCTGATGCAGGCGAATTGTGTCCCTCTCTCTCCCTCAGTAAGCAATGCCTTAAACTGCTGAAGTGCCTCTTTGAGAGGCTGAAGAAGCTCTACCCTAATGATCTGAAGCCCCTCTGCTCGTACCATGCCAAGACGGTCTTCCTGCACACACTCTCTGTGAGGGTCAAAGACCAGCAATGGGCCCAGAAGCTGCTGCCAAAATGTTTCCTGCTGCTCTTGGGGAAGCTGGAGGAGCACGTGCGCGATGCCTCGCTGCCGCACTTTTTCGTCCCAGGCCACAACCTTTTCGCTCCACCCGACTTCCCACGCCGCAGCCTGCAGTTCCTGCAGCAGACACTGGAAGATCAGCGTATGCACGGCTACCCCCTTCTGAGGGAGGCCCAGCTTGTCGAGCCCCTTAGCACAACTGACGGCATGACCCCGAAAGGCCCGAGGTCACTGGCACGTCCTCTAAGTGACCGTCCAGTAAAAAAGGCAGTGATGATGTGTTTCCCCTTCTTATTATTTTTCTTCATGTTTCTGTACAATAAGTTTTAGGTAGCTACAGTGACATGTTGTGCATGAGTGGTAGTACAGAATTCCACCCTGTATGTGTACGTCGAAGAAATCAATTACTCTTATATTGAAATAGATTTTGTGTGTGTTCTTCTGTATTTGTGATTGGTGTATTTTCACATGTGCGAGAAAATACATGGTGTAGTGCAGGAGGGATTGGCATTTCCCAGCATGCCCCACAGGCAACTGTAAATAACCCATGCTGTATTGTTAGAGTTAGTGCTTGTAATTCCTGGTTGTGGTGTGTGTGTTTACCTGTGTCTTATGAGAACCCAGTCTGATCTTCATGTGTCTCTATCCTGTTGTATAATTATCCACAATGTATGTATCCGGCATCTGACCTCCCTGCTTTTCCCCATTACTTTGGGGTCAGTACTCATTCAGTGCTTGTGATAGTCCTTTTAAAGACTTAATAAAAGCTTTCTCACCTTTCACCACCAATGCAATGGCTTGGTCTGCTTGGCGCTACAACATATAGGTGTGAAGAATGACATGTGTATGTGTTTTTGGGGCTGGGAACTTTGCTGACAATCTTCTTGTCTAGTGCCAAATGATGTCAAAGCAACGGAACAGATGGAACTTGCTTTCTGATTTGCTATGGTTCATATGTGATTCCCAAATAACTGCAATAATCATACACTCACCTAAAAAATTATTAGGAACACCATACTAATACGGTGTTTGACCCCCTTTCGCCTTCAGAACTGCCTTAATTCTACGTGTCATTGATTCAACAAGGTGCTGAAAGCATTCTTTAGAAATGTTGGCCCATATTGATAGGATAGCATCTTGCAGTTGATGGAGATTTGTGGGATGCACATCCAGGGCACGAAGCTCCCGTTCCACCACATCCCAAATATGCTCTATTGGGTTGAGATCTGGTGACTGTGGGGGCCATTTTAGTACAGTGAACTCATTGTCATGTTCAAGAAACCAATTTGAAATGATTCGAGCTTTGTGACATGGTGCATTATCCTGCTGGAAGAAGCCATCAGAGGATGGGTACATGGTGGTCATAAAGGGATGGACATGGTCAGAAACAATGCTCAGGTAGGCCGTGGCATTTAAACAATGCCCAATTGGCACTAAGGGGCCTAAAGTGTGCCAAGAAAACATCCCCCACACCATTACACCACCACCAGCAGCCTGCACAGTGGTAACAAGGCATGATGGATCCATGTTCTCATTCTGTTTATGCCAAATTCTGACTCTACCATTTGAATGTCTCAACAGAAATCGAGACTCAGACCAGGCAACATTTTTCCAGTCTTCAACTGTCCAATTTTGGTGAGCTCGTGCAAATTGTAACCTCTTTTTCCTATTTGTAGTGGAGATGAGTGGTACCCGGTGGGGTCTTCTGCTGTTGTAGCCCATCCGCCTCAAGGTTGTGCGTGTTGTGGCTTCACAAATGCTTTGCTGCATACCTCGGTTGTAACGAGTGGTTATTTCACTCAAAGTTGCTCTTCTATCAGCTTGAATCAGTCGGCCCATTCTCCTCTGACCTCTAGCATCAACAAGGCATTTTCGCCCACAGCACTGCCGCATACTGGATGTTTTTCCCTTTGCACACCATTCTTTGTAAACCCTAGAAATGGTTGTGCGTGAAAATCCCAGTAACTGAGCAGATTGTGAAATACTCAGACCGGCCCATCTGGCACCAACAACCATGCCACCCTTAAATCACCTTTCTTTCCCATTCTGACATTCAGTTTGGAGTTCAGGAGATTGTCTTGACCAGGACCACACCCCTAAATGCATTGAAGCAACTGCCATGTGATTGGTTGATTAGATAATTGCATTAATGAGAAATTGAACAGGTGTTCCTAATAATCCTTTAGGTGAGTGTATAATCCAAGTTTCTAAAAAAATACAACTTAATTTGATTTTATATTGAAACATTTGTTTAAATGACTGAATATAAGTACAACTTCTTAAATTAAATTAAATTAAATTATAGCACATAATAATTTTAACAACATAAATACAATTTTCAGATTGCGGCTGGGAACGGTATATCGCAGGTCCCAGTTTCCACCAGTCGCTGCACCGTTGCCGGTCCGGCTATATATTGCTGTTCCGGAAGTGCTCGCTCTTTTCTAGCTTTCGAAGATGGCGGTGAGTGCTGAGTCCGCAGCGAATATGGCGACGTGTGTTTGCATGAAATCTAAATCTGCATCCATCGCTGTGTCGGGCTGCTGCCTGTGAATTGTAAACTCTCGCATATATTTGCGTAGGATATTACTATTGTGTTTTCTGTATATGCGAGTGCTGAAACTTTTTTGTACGATGGAAATGCTCCTCGATGTTGTACTACCCTAGTCCAGTCCGAATCATACTAGTTTCAAGTGCTGAGGTTTCTTTCTGTCTTGTGTTATGTTGTGAAGGGTAACGTTATCATGAAAGCTGACGAGCGAGCCGCGTTAATAGATTGTGTCGGTAGCCGTCGCTGCCTTCGGTTACTTTGCGGGGATATGTACGGGCACGTCCGCCATACTCTACAGCGCTGGCTGCGTGCATTGTCATATGCTCACCCTAGTTTCAGGCCTAATATTGTTTCTGGTGCACTTGTCTATAGTTTGAGCTAGACAGGTGACTGTACTCTGAATGAATGTTTAATATAATATCTCAACAATGTTCGGCCCGTGTACTGATAACGTGATGCGGTAAAGAGCGGTTTTCTAGATTGTTTTATCCTGTTTATTAGGTAGTATGTCTGTCATGTGTTGGTCGCCCTGGTGTCAGGTTCTGAGATGCTTTGTTTCAATGTTTTAATGCGTGTCGAATTTTTAGGCAAGCGCGTTATCCAAGAAAGCAGATGTAAATCTATGGAAGTTGTTGGAAATCACGGGCTTTTGATTAATGCAGCCTGTGAACCTGTATCCTGGCCCATATGTTGGTTGATCTTGACTAGGGAAAGTTGGAAACTTTCCATGGGAGTTAATGGGAATAAACTGGAAACTTGAAAAATTGCAGGTTAGCCTGTAACAAGAAACTTAAATGTAGTTGGGGGAAGAAACATCTTGATGGCACTAATAGTGATGTCATTGTGTAACCAAGTGCTTGTGAATAGTTACATGTCTAAAAACACCCTAAAATAAGCATCTGCATCAAAATGCATTGTATGTTGTGTTTTTCATAGTTTGCTTTCTTTGCCATATCTGACAGCTTGTATGGAGTTACACATAGTTCAATATTTCCAAAATTCCCATGTTTTCTCATGTTACTTCCCATGGAAAATCTCTTGAAAGTTTGCAAAAATTTTCCACCCCTTTGCAGCCCTACTCTTGACTAGGTGTTTTGCGGTAGAGTTAAGCCCTGTTGTAAGTGTGCTGGAGGCTGCCCGTCTCCCGGCTGGGTGTCTAGGGTCTGCTCCCTAATTCTGCCCTCTGTCTCTCTCAGGACCAGGGCGAGAAGAAGGAGAACCCCATGAGAGAGCTGCGCATCCGCAAGCTCTGCCTGAACATCTGTGTGGGTGAGAGCGGCGACAGGCTGACCCGTGCCGCCAAGGTGCTGGAGCAGCTCACTGGCCAGACCCCGGTCTTCTCCAAAGGTGCGTGTCTCTGCCTGCCATCTCGCTGCCTCTTTTGAGATGCCACCTCAATACCCAGTCCCAAATTTAAGCATCTCCCTTTAATGAACATCCTGGAGTTGCTTATTAATCCCTCCTTCAGTGATTCTTCTTGATGACCTGTGTGTAGTTTGGACTGTTCCCAGTCCCTTTAAAACCGCTTTATTCCCCAAAGGACGTCTTCAGTAGGTGGTTTAAGGAAGTGGACTACTGACCAGCTAAGCATGTGCACAGGGCAGAATGTGCGTGATCACTGTTCCCTAATAACAGAGAACCTACATTGCATCGCCTTCATGCTGCACGGCCCCTATCTCATGGCTCTCGGTGGTCGTCACATGTTTCTCCTACATTTCTGTGCAGCTCGCTACACTGTGCGATCGTTCGGCATCCGTAGGAATGAGAAGATCGCCGTTCACTGCACCGTCCGAGGTGCAAAGGCTGAGGAGATCCTGGAGAAGGGGTTGAAGGTGAGTTTGCCTTATTAGCTGAATGACTGTCACTGTCACCCCCCATTTCTCTGGCCGCTTGGTCACGCCACTGTCGCAGTGCTCGCCTGCTTGGGGCTCCTGTGTGTCTTGCGTGACCTGTGGTGTGTCTCCACCTACCTCTCCTTCCCGGCAGGTGCGTGAGTATGAGCTGAGGAAGAACAACTTCTCTGACACTGGCAACTTCGGCTTTGGCATCCAGGAGCACATTGACCTGGGGATAAAGTACGACCCCAGCATCGGCATCTACGGCCTGGACTTCTATGTGGTGAGCAGATTGCCGCGGAGTCGGGGACTAAAAATACTTCAGATTGAGGCACTTGGCTGTATTTGCCAAGCAGGTGTTGCTGTCTGTAGAATGGAGTTTGTTCACCTTCTGTAAACTAAGTTTAAACAGGATGTTTTGAGTACAGTCAGGCTAGTTTCTCAGGAATCCTTTATATGCGATTTGAACATCCTTTTTTGTTCTATAGATGTGAAATAGGTCAAGTAAAGAAGAGTGTTTTATTTGCTTTTGCTAGGGTTATATCACAGAGTGATTGTCGTAGATTGATTGCCTGTAATTGCCGCCTGATACAGGTCCTGGGTAGACCAGGCTTCAGCATTGCAGACAAGAAGAGGAAAATGGGCCGTATTGGGTTCAAGCACCGCATCCGCAAGGAGGAAGCCATGCGCTGGTTCCAGCAGAAGGTGAGCTCTGATGGCGGCCCGTGGGCCAGAGGGTGCTGGGTTCACGGAGGCCTTTTTTTAACACAGCTCTTGAGGGTGGCGGTGTTGCCGTTACCGCAGCACGTGGTGTGTCTACATTCCTGATGCCTGATATCAGGAGCTAATGTGCGTTTCCCTTTGTTTCAGTACGATGGCGTCATCCTCCCTGGGAAGTAAACGGACCATGTTTTTGACTTTGTAATGTACTATTAAAAAGAAAAATGACATCTCTGCTTTTGTCTGAAGTTTAATCTGGTGGTGCTTGGCTGCCCAAAGTTTCATGCATTTTCCTGGCCTCTTATAGCCGGTGGAGGTTTACTCACGATTGTGAGCTGTACGGTCTTTCTCACTCGCCTGGCTGCGCACCAGACGGCGGCTGCCACCAGCACGACTTGTCTGGGAAGTGACACTTTTCCTAAATTCATCTGCCAACTGAAACATGAGTCCAGATGTTCTCCTGGAGCATTAATAGGTCAGTTTTGCTTTCCAGAGTAATGTTACATGACTCCTGGGGGTTATATGGTCATCGACTTAAGTCTTATCGAGTAATGAGATCATACTTGCAGATAAAAAGTCCGAAGCAGATGTGATTAGTAGACGTACTTTGTGTGCAGTATGTGGCAAGAACCAAAATGGATTTGTGCTGCTACTATAGGGTTTGGTTAAATGTCTGATTGTATCTTGCATTAATACGGTATATTTGTCACCCCCATAACTTCCAGGATGGGGCCTGGTCATAAGTTGATTGATACCTGGATTTGTATATAAGATTACAGCTGCACTGTTGAGGACTAGAACACTCATACACTCTTTAGCTTATTGTGGGTTTAATTGAAGGTTTGGTGAGAATTTGCTTGCTTTTCCTGTGGTTTGACTATCCAAACTCATAAGTATTACATTTGATGCTGTAGGGTTCAGCGTAGAGTATTAACTACGGATGTTCCAAGACCTGCCGATAGCCAGAACTGTGGATAACAGCAAACCATCTGTGGACCCTATATATTTAAAACTTGATTTTCCTGTACTTGCATGTGATTATAAATTACAGTAAGCCTTTAATATTATACAGTGATGAAGTACTTTATATGGTACTGTATTACAATGGAAGGGATTCTGTTTTGGCCTTATTCACAAGATGATGGAGCAATGGAAATCTTTTTTTATACCCCTTTAAAGGATGAGGAAACAATGAAAAACACTTTTTTTTTTTTTTTTGTTGCTGACAGTTGTTGCTGACACGTTATGGCGGGGGCTCCTGTGTAGAAAACAAGTGGGAATTTTGTGGTGTAACAAACTACCAGGAAGTGAATGGGACCAGTCTGTTAAGCTGGAGCATTTAGGGATATGCTTTTATTTTGTAAATACCTCGGACAGGGCGGCTTTGAGACACGCAAACATGAGGCTTGCATTTTATCCCCAGGATACTTTTGTCTAACAAATGTCCGCATTGTAAGTGAAATGGAAGTTACATTGAAAATAGGCCAAAATAGTTTTTGAGCAAGTTCAGCTTTCCCCTCCCCCCTCGTATCCCAGGATGGATCGGGCTTCAGTAAGTGGACAAGACCCCCACAACACTAATGGACTGGCTCATTTTCCTAGGATAGAGGTAGCATTGGACCCACCGTAGCCCACGGAACCATTAATCTGGAGTCAAATTTCAGTAGGTGACTCATATTCTGGTCTGTTCTGTGGGTTTCATGAACAGTTTAAAAGGTAAATTAAAAGTATGCTGTTAACTGAGCTTCCTGTTGGAAGGTGCAGTTGGCGGCCTGATGGTCGAGCTACCTGTCTGGGGTTTCAATTCCGACTTCGTTTGTTTTTTTTCTCTTTTTCTTGTAACCTTTATACGTTTCTCTCCTTGCACATGTAAAGTGCTTCCTTTTGATCTAATCTTATTTTATTTTTTTTTGCTGAAGCATCTCCGTTACACTAAGTAACCCAGATAACATTCACCTGCAGTTACACACACTAATGTTAGGGGGCGCCGTTTCTCTCGCTCGGCTCACCACACAGACCCCTGATGTTCAGCCACTCGCTAATAAAAGCCCTTCTGACGTACAACCTATGGGACACCCTGCAGCTAAGGCATGATACCTTTCCTGTGTTTTTAATCTACTTCCTGTTTCACTTCCGCCTACCCTGCTACTTCCTGTCCTTCCGTCATCCCCCCCCCCATCTCCATCTCTCTCCTCTTGCTCCTTGACCCTGCCTCCCTCTCATTTAGCCGCTGGTCGGCTGTGCCGCTGTGCCGCTTTCCTTTGCGGGCGGCTCCTCGGGGCTGTGTCCAGGCCCGGGCGCGTGCCGTTGCTTGCGCGGATTGTGGCGCGGTGGCAGGGACAGCACACAGCAGGAGACGCCCACCGTGGGCTCGGGCAGCTCCTCGCCAGCGGACCAGCTGTCGGTGTCGGGGTCGTAGCGCTGCACCGCCGCCTTGTAGCGCTTCTCCGCCTCATTCCAGCCACCCAGCAGGTACAGCTGCTCGTTGAGGGCCGCCAGGCCGGCAGTGCTGACCCCTAGGGGCAAAGGTGCAGCCTGGCTCCACTGCCTGCTCTCCGGGGAGAATATCTCCATGGGCAGGACGTCGACGCGCTCACCCCCGGGCCCCAGCTGGCTCCCACCCACCACGTACACCTTCCCGCCTAGAGTGGCCGCGCAGTGCCAGCCGCGGGGCGTGGAAAGCCCCTCACACTCCGCCCAGGTATCCGTCTCGGGGCTGTAGCTGAGCACGGAGCGCGAGTACGCGCGATTGACGTAGCCGCCGGTGATGAGGATTTCGCCAGTGGGGAGTGCGGTGCCGGCGTGGCAGCATCGGGGAATGTCAAGCGGCGCGCGCGGCTGCCAGCTGTTAGACGATGGCAGGTAGCTCTCCGTGGTTGCCAGCAGCCCCTCGGTGTTGCGCCCGCCAATAGCATACAGGCGCCCCCCGGTGGCCACCAGGCTGAAATGCGTGCGCCGTTGACGCATGCTGCTCAGATGCAACCAGGTGTTGAAGCGTGGATCATACCTGAGGGTGGAATTGTGTATAAAATAAAAAGTTTCGACATAGTTAAGCAGCCATGCTGCCAGAATTGAAGTAAGTCTGTACGTCCGACACCTCACAATTTTCACTGTCACTGACCGTCTTTTGAGCGTGACCTAGGTGACCATAAGTACCTGCTTAGGGTGCCCACTGCATGTTTGGCCTGGTTACGGGCGTCGTTCTGGTCCTCGCCCCCGGCCACGTACAGGAAGCCGTCCATGACGGCGACGCTCTGGTTGAAGCTCTTGGCGGGGAGCTGAGAGAGATGGCGCCAGGTGGCCACGCCCTCACGAGGGTTCCTCCAGAGCACCTAGCAGAGGGGTCAGAGGTCGCCTTAGCCGCACGCATCCATACTCAATTACGATTGGTCCTTGGGTGCCCGTCCTGCAGATTCCCCAGCGTTTCTGAGCATTCACATCATCGAATGGTGGAGCTCATCAGGCGTGATTGTAGAATTTGATCCTCAGCCCCATTGAAGAAATACAAGACACCCAGCCCCCATGATAAAGCTTGCTGAGCGGGCAGCGTGAAACGTACAGAAATATGAGGCAAGTCACTGAATGGGCTTAAAATAATAATTTTTCAGGTGGGCAACCTGCCACTTGCCATTGACTGAGAGTCACATGATCTGTGGTTTGGTAAGAGCATAACCAGGTTTGCTTTGCCGGCGGGTGTTAGTGTTGACTCACCTCCCGGCTCAGAGCACGCTCGGTGAGGGATGGCCGCCCCCCCACCGTGAGCAGGACGCTCTGGCTCCCGCGCACACGCGTGCGTTTGGACTGCAGGACATTCTGCTGGTGCGGCAGCAGGTGGTAGTTCATTGCCTCGACCAGCAGGCGGTGACACTGCGCATCCTGCATCATGCGGGCCACTGGCTGCACCTGGCTGACCAGCTCGCTGGCTGCAATCGTCTCAAAGCGCACATGGGACAGCAGCTCGGCTGCGTGGGGATGCCGCTTGGGGTCGAAGTCCAACCACTTCATTGCCACCTGAAAGATACCAAGGGAATATCTAAACCTCAGACCTCGAAGTCTACGGACCTTGAAACCTTGATGTTTAAAGCATTAGGTAAAAGTTCTCACAATTTCAAAAAACTGTGACTGTGTAGTATGTCTATTGTCAATCATACTTAAGTACTCATCATGTCGGTGATATAGAAAATTAATGGGGGAAAATTAATCAGTGACATATGTGATCCCAATACTTCAGTGTTGTACTTAAAAAAGTAAATACATTTACAATATATTATTGCACATTGATATGACTAACACAAGTGGCAGGTCTTAATATTTCCAAGTAGCATTTTCATCTGACCAGGGCTGCAACTGCACCCACTGTACACCCAGTAAAATCGCTTAGGTTTTGTAATGGAATCAGGATGGAATGTTGAATGAGGAGGTCTGAGGCCTGAAAGTGGCCTTTACGCACCTGGAAGGCCGTAACCTCCGAGGGCAACAGCAGACCGTCATCCTCCAGGAAGGCAGTGATCTGCTCTAGGGTCAGCTGCGTGAACTGGGGCGTCTCAGCGAACTGGGCGAAGTTCTCCAGCAGGTAGCGGCGGGCGGCATCCCGCACGGCCCCCAGGCCATAGGCCGCCGCGATGTTCCACACGTAGACGCACGTCTGCACGCTCAGCTCGCCGAGCAGGAAGTCCTCGCACAGCTGCAGCAGCTGCGGCATCTGCAGGACGGAGGCGGCGGACACCGTGCAGCCGATGGTGTACAGCGACATGTGGACACGACCCAGGTATGCGAAGGTGATCACGTTGGCCAGGCCTGGCAAGTGGGTAGGAGCAGAATTCAAGGGGATTGAGTTCCTTGGGAAGAGATCATGGGACTGGAGACAGAGGGGAGCTGAAGCGGGACTGGCCAGGGTTAGACAGGCATGCCGGGGGAGGAGGCCTACCGAGCGGGGACAGTGAGGGCAGCTCTACTCGCTTCAGCTCGGGCTCCTTGGCCAGCAGCTCGCGGAAGTACTGGCTGACGGAGGAGATGACCAGCTTGTGCACGTCGAAGGCCTTGGTCTTGCTGGCGAGCTCCAGGTCGGTGAGGAAGCGCTCTTGGCGCATTCGGCTCAGCTCCTCCAGCAGGGCGGAGCCGTGGAAGGGTCGTGTCAACTCAGTGCCCCGGCCCAGGCTCAGCACCTTCTCCCCGGGGTTGGTCACCGGGGGAGGGAGGGGCAGCCCGTTCAGGTGGTTCAGCTGCTCGATATCCAGTGCTGCCTCCTCGATCTTCTTGTCACTCTCTACCACCTTTACAGCACTGCCGACCCCCACTGTCTCTACCACTGTCTTTTTCTGACGGGCTGCCTTCTTCTTTGGGGCCATGGTGAGAGCTGATTTGACACCTGTTAGCTGTAAATCTGTGAATCTTTATGACTTACAGGACGATGCACCGAGAGACAAAAGTAGTCGATCTGAGTGGCTAACTAGCGAATTTATCAAATGGCTGACCGACTTAGCTAGCTAGCTCATCAGATAACTGACACCCTCGTGTCCTAATTAACTGATTAAATCACTGACTGTTTGCCAAACTGACAAGGCCTTGGTGCGGCTGAAACGTTAACTTAAACACTGACACCCCACTGAACCCCAGACCCTGTGCTGTGCTGATGGGGGAAGTAACAGAACTCTCAACAGGCTACTTGGGTGGATCTGATTGTGGAAGAGATGGAGGAGGTGGGCAAGGCACTGGGGAAGGACTTTTGCTTGATTTGGGTGGTGGTGTAGATGGTGACGGTCAGTTACAGGCTTCAGCAAGACGGCATACGGCACCTAAGATGAAACATGTCCATCACAACGTGATCCACAAACATATATATCGTCTGTTACGGCTGGTGCAGCTTTCTGTATGGGAACGCTTGATGCACACATCAGTATGCTATTTATCCCTTGTTTTCTGCTGCTATCAGAGCAGGGCTGTTGATTTCCTGTTAAGACATTTGGAGTTGTGGGTGTAACATTGTCAGTGGCTGTAAGTCTGACAAGCTCAGGGCAGTTTGTTCTCATAAAAAAAAACCCAATTTGGTTATGTTTGTGTATCGATTATCTCTAAACTTCCCTTCCATAATGATGGACAAGCACAGAATATTGTTTGGAAGTTCATTTATATCCAAACAGTAACAGCCCTGATGTAATGCCACTGAATAAGNCTCTCGGTGGTCGTCACATGTTTCTCCTACATTTCTGTGCAGCTCGCTACACTGTGCGATCGTTCGGCATCCGTAGGAATGAGAAGATCGCCGTTCACTGCACCGTCCGAGGTGCAAAGGCTGAGGAGATCCTGGAGAAGGGGTTGAAGGTGAGTTTGCCTTATTAGCTGAATGACTGTCACTGTCACCCCCCATTTCTCTGGCCGCTTGGTCACGCCACTGTCGCAGTGCTCGCCTGCTTGGGGCTCCTGTGTGTCTTGCGTGACCTGTGGTGTGTCTCCACCTACCTCTCCTTCCCGGCAGGTGCGTGAGTATGAGCTGAGGAAGAACAACTTCTCTGACACTGGCAACTTCGGCTTTGGCATCCAGGAGCACATTGACCTGGGGATAAAGTACGACCCCAGCATCGGCATCTACGGCCTGGACTTCTATGTGGTGAGCAGATTGCCGCGGAGTCGGGGACTAAAAATACTTCAGATTGAGGCACTTGGCTGTATTTGCCAAGCAGGTGTTGCTGTCTGTAGAATGGAGTTTGTTCACCTTCTGTAAACTAAGTTTAAACAGGATGTTTTGAGTACAGTCAGGCTAGTTTCTCAGGAATCCTTTATATGCGATTTGAACATCCTTTTTTGTTCTATAGATGTGAAATAGGTCAAGTAAAGAAGAGTGTTTTATTTGCTTTTGCTAGGGTTATATCCCAGAGTGATTGTCGTAGATTGATTGCCTGTAATTGCCGCCTGATACAGGTCCTGGGTAGACCAGGCTTCAGCATTGCAGACAAGAAGAGGAAAATGGGCCGTATTGGGTTCAAGCACCGCATCCGCAAGGAGGAAGCCATGCGCTGGTTCCAGCAGAAGGTGAGCTCTGATGGCGGCCCGTGGGCCAGAGGGTGCTGGGTTCACGGAGGCCTTTTTTTAACACAGCTCTTGAGGGTGGCGGTGTTGCCGTTACCGCAGCACGTGGTGTGTCTACATTCCTGATGCCTGATATCAGGAGCTAATGTGCGTTTCCCTTTGTTTCAGTACGATGGCGTCATCCTCCCTGGGAAGTAAACGGACCATGTTTTTGACTTTGTAATGTACTATTAAAAAGAAAAATGACATCTCTGCTTTTGTCTGAAGTTTAATCTGGTGGTGCTTGGCTGCCCAAAGTTTCATGCATTTTCCTGGCCTCTTATAGCCGGTGGAGGTTTACTCACGATTGTGAGCTGTACGGTCTTTCTCACTCGCCTGGCTGCGCACCAGACGGCGGCTGCCACCAGCACGACTTGTCTGGGAAGTGACACTTTTCCTAAATTCATCTGCCAACTGAAACATGAGTCCAGATGTTCTCCTGGAGCATTAATAGGTCAGTTTTGCTTTCCAGAGTAATGTTACATGACTCCTGGGGGTTATATGGTCATCGACTTAAGTCTTATCGAGTAATGAGATCATACTTGCAGATAAAAAGTCCGAAGCAGATGTGATTAGTAGACGTACTTTGTGTGCAGTATGTGGCAAGAACCAAAATGGATTTGTGCTGCTACTATAGGGTTTGGTTAAATGTCTGATTGTATCTTGCATTAATACGGTATATTTGTCACCCCCATAACTTCCAGGATGGGGCCTGGTCATAAGTTGATTGATACCTGGATTTGTATATAAGATTACAGCTGCACTGTTGAGGACTAGAACACTCATACACTCTTTAGCTTATTGTGGGTTTAATTGAAGGTTTGGTGAGAATTTGCTTGCTTTTCCTGTGGTTTGACTATCCAAACTCATAAGTATTACATTTGATGCTGTAGGGTTCAGCGTAGAGTATTAACTACGGATGTTCCAAGACCTGCCGATAGCCAGAACTGTGGATAACAGCAAACCATCTGTGGACCCTATATATTTAAAACTTGATTTTCCTGTACTTGCATGTGATTATAAATTACAGTAAGCCTTTAATATTATACAGTGATGAAGTACTTTATATGGTACTGTATTACAATGGAAGGGATTCTGTTTTGGCCTTATTCACAAGATGATGGAGCAATGGAAATCTTTTTTTATACCCCTTTAAAGGATGAGGAAACAATGAAAAACACTTTTTTTTTTTTTTTTGTTGCTGACAGTTGTTGCTGACACGTTATGGCGGGGGCTCCTGTGTAGAAAACAAGTGGGAATTTTGTGGTGTAACAAACTACCAGGAAGTGAATGGGACCAGTCTGTTAAGCTGGAGCATTTAGGGATATGCTTTTATTTTGTAAATACCTCGGACAGGGCGGCTTTGAGACACGCAAACATGAGGCTTGCATTTTATCCCCAGGATACTTTTGTCTAACAAATGTCCGCATTGTAAGTGAAATGGAAGTTACATTGAAAATAGGCCAAAATAGTTTTTGAGCAAGTTCAGCTTTCCCCTCCCCCCTCGTATCCCAGGATGGATCGGGCTTCAGTAAGTGGACAAGACCCCCACAACACTAATGGACTGGCTCATTTTCCTAGGATAGAGGTAGCATTGGACCCACCGTAGCCCACGGAACCATTAATCTGGAGTCAAATTTCAGTAGGTGACTCATATTCTGGTCTGTTCTGTGGGTTTCATGAACAGTTTAAAAGGTAAATTAAAAGTATGCTGTTAACTGAGCTTCCTGTTGGAAGGTGCAGTTGGCGGCCTGATGGTCGAGCTACCTGTCTGGGGTTTCAATTCCGACTTCGTTTGTTTTTTTTCTCTTTTTCTTGTAACCTTTATACGTTTCTCTCCTTGCACATGTAAAGTGCTTCCTTTTGATCTAATCTTATTTTATTTTTTTTTGCTGAAGCATCTCCGTTACACTAAGTAACCCAGATAACATTCACCTGCAGTTACACACACTAATGTTAGGGGGCGCCGTTTCTCTCGCTCGGCTCACCACACAGACCCCTGATGTTCAGCCACTCGCTAATAAAAGCCCTTCTGACGTACAACCTATGGGACACCCTGCAGCTAAGGCATGATACCTTTCCTGTGTTTTTAATCTACTTCCTGTTTCACTTCCGCCTACCCTGCTACTTCCTGTCCTTCCGTCATCCCCCCCCCCATCTCCATCTCTCTCCTCTTGCTCCTTGACCCTGCCTCCCTCTCATTTAGCCGCTGGTCGGCTGTGCCGCTGTGCCGCTTTCCTTTGCGGGCGGCTCCTCGGGGCTGTGTCCAGGCCCGGGCGCGTGCCGTTGCTTGCGCGGATTGTGGCGCGGTGGCAGGGACAGCACACAGCAGGAGACGCCCACCGTGGGCTCGGGCAGCTCCTCGCCAGCGGACCAGCTGTCGGTGTCGGGGTCGTAGCGCTGCACCGCCGCCTTGTAGCGCTTCTCCGCCTCATTCCAGCCACCCAGCAGGTACAGCTGCTCGTTGAGGGCCGCCAGGCCGGCAGTGCTGACCCCTAGGGGCAAAGGTGCAGCCTGGCTCCACTGCCTGCTCTCCGGGGAGAATATCTCCATGGGCAGGACGTCGACGCGCTCACCCCCGGGCCCCAGCTGGCTCCCACCCACCACGTACACCTTCCCGCCTAGAGTGGCCGCGCAGTGCCAGCCGCGGGGCGTGGAAAGCCCCTCACACTCCGCCCAGGTATCCGTCTCGGGGCTGTAGCTGAGCACGGAGCGCGAGTACGCGCGATTGACGTAGCCGCCGGTGATGAGGATTTCGCCAGTGGGGAGTGCGGTGCCGGCGTGGCAGCATCGGGGAATGTCAAGCGGCGCGCGCGGCTGCCAGCTGTTAGACGATGGCAGGTAGCTCTCCGTGGTTGCCAGCAGCCCCTCGGTGTTGCGCCCGCCAATAGCATACAGGCGCCCCCCGGTGGCCACCAGGCTGAAATGCGTGCGCCGTTGACGCATGCTGCTCAGATGCAACCAGGTGTTGAAGCGTGGATCATACCTGAGGGTGGAATTGTGTATAAAATAAAAAGTTTCGACATAGTTAAGCAGCCATGCTGCCAGAATTGAAGTAAGTCTGTACGTCCGACACCTCACAATTTTCACTGTCACTGACCGTCTTTTGAGCGTGACCTAGGTGACCATAAGTACCTGCTTAGGGTGCCCACTGCATGTTTGGCCTGGTTACGGGCGTCGTTCTGGTCCTCGCCCCCGGCCACGTACAGGAAGCCGTCCATGACGGCGACGCTCTGGTTGAAGCTCTTGGCGGGGAGCTGAGAGAGATGGCGCCAGGTGGCCACGCCCTCACGAGGGTTCCTCCAGAGCACCTAGCAGAGGGGTCAGAGGTCGCCTTAGCCGCACGCATCCATACTCAATTACGATTGGTCCTTGGGTGCCCGTCCTGCAGATTCCCCAGCGTTTCTGAGCATTCACATCATCGAATGGTGGAGCTCATCAGGCGTGATTGTAGAATTTGATCCTCAGCCCCATTGAAGAAATACAAGACACCCAGCCCCCATGATAAAGCTTGCTGAGCGGGCAGCGTGAAACGTACAGAAATATGAGGCAAGTCACTGAATGGGCTTAAAATAATAATTTTTCAGGTGGGCAACCTGCCACTTGCCATTGACTGAGAGTCACATGATCTGTGGTTTGGTAAGAGCATAACCAGGTTTGCTTTGCCGGCGGGTGTTAGTGTTGACTCACCTCCCGGCTCAGAGCACGCTCGGTGAGGGATGGCCGCCCCCCCACCGTGAGCAGGACGCTCTGGCTCCCGCGCACACGCGTGCGTTTGGACTGCAGGACATTCTGCTGGTGCGGCAGCAGGTGGTAGTTCATTGCCTCGACCAGCAGGCGGTGACACTGCGCATCCTGCATCATGCGGGCCACTGGCTGCACCTGGCTGACCAGCTCGCTGGCCGCAATCGTCTCAAAGCGCACATGGGACAGCAGCTCGGCTGCGTGGGGATGCCGCTTGGGGTCGAAGTCCAACCACTTCATTGCCACCTGAAAGATACCAAGGGAATATCTAAACCTCAGACCTCGAAGTCTACGGACCTTGAAACCTTGATGTTTAAAGCATTAGGTAAAAGTTCTCACAATTTCAAAAAACTGTGACTGTGTAGTATGTCTATTGTCAATCATACTTAAGTACTCATCATGTCGGTGATATAGAAAATTAATGGGGGAAAATTAATCAGTGACATATGTGATCCCAATACTTCAGTGTTGTACTTAAAAAAGTAAATACATTTACAATATATTATTGCACATTGATATGACTAACACAAGTGGCAGGTCTTAATATTTCCAAGTAGCATTTTCATCTGACCAGGGCTGCAACTGCACCCACTGTACACCCAGTAAAATCGCTTAGGTTTTGTAATGGAATCAGGATGGAATGTTGAATGAGGAGGTCTGAGGCCTGAAAGTGGCCTTTACGCACCTGGAAGGCCGTAACCTCCGAGGGCAACAGCAGACCGTCATCCTCCAGGAAGGCAGTGATCTGCTCTAGGGTCAGCTGCGTGAACTGGGGCGTCTCAGCGAACTGGGCGAAGTTCTCCAGCAGGTAGCGGCGGGCGGCATCCCGCACGGCCCCCAGGCCATAGGCCGCCGCGATGTTCCACACGTAGACGCACGTCTGCACGCTCAGCTCGCCGAGCAGGAAGTCCTCGCACAGCTGCAGCAGCTGCGGCATCTGCAGGACGGAGGCGGCGGACACCGTGCAGCCGATGGTGTACAGCGACATGTGGACACGACCCAGGTATGCGAAGGTGATCACGTTGGCCAGGCCTGGCAAGTGGGTAGGAGCAGAATTCAAGGGGATTGAGTTCCTTGGGAAGAGATCATGGGACTGGAGACAGAGGGGAGCTGAAGCGGGACTGGCCAGGGTTAGACAGGCATGCCGGGGGAGGAGGCCTACCGAGCGGGGACAGTGAGGGCAGCTCTACTCGCTTCAGCTCGGGCTCCTTGGCCAGCAGCTCGCGGAAGTACTGACTGACGGAGGAGATGACCAGCTTGTGCACGTCGAAGGCCTTGGTCTTGCTGGCGAGCTCCAGGTCGGTGAGGAAGCGCTCTTGGCGCATTCGGCTCAGCTCCTCCAGCAGGGCGGAGCCGTGGAAGGGTCGTGTCAACTCAGTGCCCCGGCCCAGGCTCAGCACCTTCTCCCCGGGGTTGGTCACCGGGGGAGGGAGGGGCAGCCCGTTCAGGTGGTTCAGCTGCTCGATATCCAGTGCTGCCTCCTCGATCTTCTTGTCACTCTCTACCACCTTTACAGCACTGCCGACCCCCACTGTCTCTACCACTGTCTTTTTCTGACGGGCTGCCTTCTTCTTTGGGGCCATGGTGAGAGCTGATTTGACACCTGTTAGCTGTAAATCTGTGAATCTTTATGACTTACAGGACGATGCACCGAGAGACAAAAGTAGTCGATCTGAGTGGCTAACTAGCGAATTTATCAAATGGCTGACCGACTTAGCTAGCTAGCTCATCAGATAACTGACACCCTCGTGTCCTAATTAACTGATTAAATCACTGACTGTTTGCCAAACTGACAAGGCCTTGGTGCGGCTGAAACGTTAACTTAAACACTGACACCCCACTGAACCCCAGACCCTGTGCTGTGCTGATGGGGGAAGTAACAGAACTCTCAACAGGCTACTTGGGTGGATCTGATTGTGGAAGAGATGGAGGAGGTGGGCAAGGCACTGGGGAAGGACTTTTGCTTGATTTGGGTGGTGGTGTAGATGGTGACGGTCAGTTACAGGCTTCAGCAAGACGGCATACGGCACCTAAGATGAAACATGTCCATCACAACGTGATCCACAAACATATATATCGTCTGTTACGGCTGGTGCAGCTTTCTGTATGGGAACGCTTGATGCACACATCAGTATGCTATTTATCCCTTGTTTTCTGCTGCTATCAGAGCAGGGCTGTTGATTTCCTGTTAAGACATTTGGAGTTGTGGGTGTAACATTGTCAGTGGCTGTAAGTCTGACAAGCTCAGGGCAGTTTGTTCTCATAAAAAAAAACCCAATTTGGTTATGTTTGTGTATCGATTATCTCTAAACTTCCCTTCCATAATGATGGACAAGCACAGAATATTGTTTGGAAGTTCATTTATATCCAAACAGTAACAGCCCTGATGTAATGCCACTGAATAAGATACCATCCATCCATCCACCCATCCATCCATCCACCCATCCATCCATCCATCCATCCATCCATCCATCCACCCATACCTGCTTGTCCTATTCAGGGTTGCAGGTGGTCTGGAGCCTATCTTGGCGGTTAAGGGCGCAAAGCAGGGGATAACCCAGGATGAGGCGCAAACCCATCGCAGGGCACACTCCACACACCATTCATCCATCCATCCATCCATCCATCCATTATCTACACTGCTTTATCCATCTGGGTCGTGGGCAAGCTGGAGCCAATCCCAGCATCATCGGGCGAGAGGCTGGTTACTCCCTGGGCAGGCCGCCAGTCCACCACCGGGCCACACCATTCATACCTAAGGATAGTCTGGCAACTCCATATCACCTTAAAATCAAGCAGTAGTCTTCAGAGGTGTGAGGCGATCATGCTAAGCCCAGCGTCACCATGCTTCTCTGAGCAAGATACATAATAAATAAAAATTGATTGAAAAGACTTCAGACATATTAAATAATGCAGTGCTTGAAGTGGGAGGAACAGGTGCTGTTACTGCCCTTGATATTCAGTACGCAGTACCCCAGTACTCTGAAGAGCTGCTGGTACTGCCTACCGGTGGGTAGCAGTGACTGGTGGGCATTACTCTCCAGGAAGTGTCCAGGGGGGAGGGCTTGGGTTGGGACATGTATACAGTCTCACAGGGTGAGATGTGCACGGACATTTATACATGCATCACTGAACAGCAGGGCAGGTTCCACACAATATCTCTGACTCACATCCACACACACAGACACCTGCACTTTGCGTCAGTATAAATAAAGCAGAAATAGTTACTGCAGCAGCCTTATGGTTTGATGACGTTCCCCCTCACACAGTGATTTAAAGCATCATAAGTTCCTTTTATGTGTCTGAACATCTGATTTCATGGAGTAGTTGATATGTGAGACCCATTGATTCAGCAGTGATGCAGACCTCAGTCATTCTTCCTCATAAGATGGCATCCAGTCCTGTTTCTATGGCAACCATACCATATGAGTTTGGCAGTTTGCATCCTAGATTTCCTTAAAGAGGGAGTTTCTCATTATGATGCTGTCAGTCATGTAATCATATACATACAGACATATATTTCTGCATATAAATGCATACGCACACACACACAGATATATATGTGTGTGTGTGTGTGTGTGTGTGTGTGTGCGTGCAGTTTATATTTTTAAGGGAAGTCAGTGCATTCAACAACTTACCATAAGGCGTTCTCACCTTTTAATATTTCATTAGTTAAGACACTTCTGATACATGATGTATGAAAGAAAGTCCAAAGTAAAACCTATCCTGGATTTAACTTTTTCAAGATTGTTTGTGCATGTACATGTGTACATGTACTGCCAAGTGACGAGTGTATAGACTTTGCCCATTGGGTCAAACTAATCTTAACACTTCAGGGATTTTCATTTGTGTGGGTCCCCTTCACTCTGCCAAGATCGCCATCAACAGACACATGTGAGCGGCTCTCCGCACAGGCCGGTGGATATTGACCGACAACGGCCCATTGGGTCCTGGTTTCTGGGACTGGACTGAGGCCGCGTATATCCGATTACGCAGCTGTTTCTCTCTGGCAACCCGAGCCCAGGTTTTATGGCCTACTGCCCTGCCTCACAAGTCAGTTTTAGTTATCTATTATTTTTATTTATGTCTCCCACAACTAAACACTACATATGAAAAGTGACAGTATCAGTACTAGTTGATATAGCTGAACTTAGGTGACTATTGAAATAACTAACTTGACTCTCACTCTTAAGGAGTATAAGTGATAAACTGGCACAGTGACACAACGAAGAGAAACTTCTCCTTTCAACTGCAACTTCCCACTGACAAAGGCAGAAACGGCCTCTTTGCTCAGTCATCAGCGGCTCTCACCCGACACCGCGGCAGCTGCTGTCTCCTCTCCCGGTGTTGGACAGCAAGAACTGCAGATACAACCCAGGCTATTTTAAGAGGCCGGGAGACAGAGATAAACATAGAGAGAAGGACAGAGGAGAGGAGAGGGACACGTGTTGTTGAGAATGAAGGGGGAGAGAAGGGCTGACAGAGAAAGAGGAATTTTGAAGGATAAAAAAGCTGATGATTGCTGAGGGTTTGCTGGGAGTCTGTGACTGCCAAAAGAGCAGGAGGAAAAGGGGAACTGAGGAGGCAGATAACAGCTAACAAATGTCACAAGAGAGGATATGCAGATGTAGGTAGCATTGAAGTTAGACCTACAGACTTAGAACACAAAGATTATTAGGACCATATCTTTCATGGTGCAGTTCAAGACTGATGAAACTGATAGAGGGTGGAAGTTACTTTGATAAAAGAATTTGCTAAAGAGACTGAGAAACGTGGGAGGACAGGCCGGTGGCAGCGTGGTCACCTGCAGCTGTTGTGTTTGTCAGAGATGGAGCAGCAGGCATGGGATTACCCCCCCCCAGCCACCCACCCCCTCCCGCTCGCCGCATTCCTCCTGCAATCCGCACAGCTTATTTATAGAACCTGATACACTTCCTACAGTTTGCAATGTCCATACGGCAGGTCAGTTTCCTCTTGGTATGCATGCGTGTGTTTTTCGTTCGTTCTGAAGATAAACACTCAAAATATCTGCCTTGGTGTTGCTGACTAGAGCTGAGAAGTACAAGACCTATCAGTCCAGGTGGGTCTTTTCAGGTGGCGATTCCCTCAGCAAGCTTCAGCGGCGTTTGTGGAAGCATGTGTGATTGTGACCACACAGCAATGACACATTCTCCTGCCATCCCATCATACTGTATCCAGAAGGACTACCCAATGTACCCCTGCGTTGTAGCCGTCTATAGCTTTCTGAGTGGCAGCAGGTACCGGGCTGCTTTAAAGAACTTCCCCTGCACCTAAAAGGTACATGTGGATGGATAACACTGAAAATATTTCAGCTATAAAAATCACTTTGGAAAAAAGCTTCCATTAACGACTTACGTAAAGTCATCTATTTAAGTTCTAAAATTACTTAAACTTTCCCTGGCTTTTATTACAAAATCCTTTTAACCACAAAACTTAGTGAAGAGCACATCTAATAGGTGAACATACAGCACAGCATGCAAACACTGGTGAACAAGAAATCACCAAGAAAACCCTTTAGATACCTTTTGCTCTTTGCTCTATCTCCCTCTCTCACTTCCCTCTTCCTCTTTTGACTGTTTTTTTACTTCTCTGTTGGCTCTCTGGTTTGTTTTTTTGCTGTTGTCTCCCTCGTCTTCATTCCCCTCTCCCTCTCTGTCCACTGTCTGTCCGAGGCAAGCGTCAGTGTCTGGCTAAAGCAAGGTCTTGCCAAGGTATGAAATGTGACCATCATCGCCCCCTAACCCTCCACCTACATCTCCAAATTCAGACACTCCTCCCTGCTATTCTATATTCAGTAAAGTTACCACCCTCCTCCACAGCCCAGGCTCCATCACCAGCATCTCCCCCAATGTCCCCTTATGGCAGGAGAAGAAGGAAAAGGGATGCACAGCATTGGAGAACCATGTGTGTTGATAAGTGTGAGTCATTGTGCCCCTGAATGATTCCATTTTCTTCATGAAATAGCTTCATCTTCAATGTGTATTTTGGTCTCGTGTGAAATTATTCATAACCTCAAGAGGATGTTTGCGTTTATATATAACTTTGAAAATGGAAGCACATAATTTAGATGGCTGAGAAGTTAAATTGGTTTTAAGGGGCAGGCATAATTGATAATAAGGTTTAAGTTTTGAACTGATGGAGAGTGTATGGAGGTAAATGGCTGATGTGTTTGTAGGCTGGTAAGCAAAGCCTGTCAAAAGAAACCCCCCAACACCCTCGTTTAATCAGTGTGAGTTATTTGCCAATTTATAAAACACAGATACTATACTGCTGCGTCACCTTAATAAAAAATCGCATTAGGAAGTATCGTGGAGTGAAATGACTGACATTCCACGAATACATTAAAGAGCAATTAATATCAGTACTGTAGTTGTCCCCTTCGCTCACGTCGTAATAAACCATACACTAGCGCTCGCTAGCCCCAGCGTCAGCTGTACGGTGACGCACTTCCGGAAGCTTTACATGGTAACTGTGGCTGGACTGACGCCGTCGGTACGAAGTGGGCAAGTCAGCGAGTCTGCTAGAGCAGCGGTTTCCGGGCTACAAATCCAGCAGTAAATATGGCGGAGGATCTACTGGAAGTGGTGGAGAAACTCCAGTCAAGGCTCACGGAAAACCAAGAGCCTCGGAAGGTAAATGTCGGCGCACCAGCGGGGGCAGATGCTCGCCGGGTGTGGGGGTCGCTGGGGCGGACTGGGTTGCCAGGCACCCTAAGGGAGCGATCCGTGCCCGTACTGGTTTTTAAAGATCACGTCACGGATTATATTCAGATCGCGACGCAGTTTAAATCAGCCAGATGGTGGAGGGGTTGTGTAAACACTGGCCTGTTAGTGAAGCAGCGCATTGCTTACTTATACCTTTTGCAGTTACATTTGGAGCAGAACAAGGCACAATTTATGCGACCTTTAATACGATGGGAGCAGTTTGGACGCTCAGTTCAGTGTGCTAATAAAATGACAGCCCCGGAGATAGGTACACAATTACAGATTGACAGCAGCAGAAACAGGCTAGAGTGGCTATTATATTGTATTGTTTTCTGAATTTGAAAATAATTCTCTGTACAGTCGTGTCTGAACGGTTCTATAAAAACGTCTTTTAGAAACAGAGCCCATTACATTTTCTCGCTGGAATAGCATAAAATATCTACTCAGACAAAGGGATTTCTACTCGGTTAGTCCCCAAGTGACCTGTTAGGATTTTTTGCTACCTGATAGTCTTGGTAAACACGTCCACATCTGATTCTTCTTGGCCCCATAAAGGACGCCCCTGATGACGCTGTGACTGTGCGTCAGAATGATAATAACGATAATAATAAAAAAGAGCCTGAGAAAACAGGTGGCTGCCCTTCGCCGACAACTTACTCTACAAAGAACAAGTTGAGGGAGGCGTAAAAACAATTTCCCCACGGGGATCAATAAAGTATCAATTATTATTATTATTAAAAGTGCTCCCCTCACCCAAGCTTCATGTATGAGAAGCTCAGTAAGTGGGGCATGTTATCATTTCAGCCGTAAGTGTGCAAGTGACATGTTAAAGACTAATACAAAAAGTCTAATACAAAATGTATACAGTTCTTAGGCACTGGCTTTATTGTTAGTTATAGACTCATGGTGATATATGCTATCCTTAACAAATATGCTTCACCAGGAGGAACGTTCTCTCATTCTCTTCTTACAGCTGCTGAAGACTCTGAAGAGGTTGGAGGGATTGCCTATGACGATAGATATATTGGTGGTAAGACGAGGGGATTAGGGTAGCACACGCACAGATAACACGCACAGAGAGCTCTCACGCACAGATAACACGCACAGAGAGCTCACACGCACAGAGAGCTCACACGCACAGAGAGCTCACACACACAACACAGATCACACACATAGATCACACACACATGGGATGCTGAGGTAAGATCGGAGGGTCTCTTCCTGCATGAAGGGATCCTTCTGTTTCACCCGCAGGGCTCATTAACATGGTAACATAATAAGCTGTGGGTTCACATAATCTGTGCAATCAAGGCTATGTAATGAGCTGAAGACTGATTTGTGTATATCATTATTATGAGAGCTTATTTATTGGCCATATGAGTCTAACAGGCAAAATTCCCACAAACTGGACACAGGCTACATATAGGCAGAAGTTAGGGATTGACCTTTGGAAACTTCATCTTCTCTTCCTTTTATGTCTGTTATTTGACAGTGTTTCCTTATACACAGCTTCCGGTGTTTCCTGACATTTAAACGCCATGCTTAAGGCTACGACCTGACAACCTCCTGGGGATACGATCCTGCTGCCATCTTGTTGCTAGTTCTGTTCTTTACTTTGTGAAATTCTGGTGTGTGTGTGTGCCCCTCCCCCCCCCCCTTTGCAGGAGACCGGGGTCGGCAAATCCGTGAACTCCTTGAGGAAACATGAAACTGTGGGACCAATGGCCAAGACCCTGGTGGCTAGATGGAAGATGTTGGTTCCGCAGCCTGTGGAGAGGTGGGCTTGCACTGGGAATGGGCGGCCTGGTGTTTGTGCCTGCTGACGAGCAGTGAGGCTTCCAGATGAATCGATGGCCTTTCAAATTTACTGCTGAAGCAATTTACTCGCCTGTTAGGTTCAAGATTATTACAGATGGTTTATTTAATTTAAAAACCTGTACTTAGAAAACTTATGGAAATATATCCTTTAATCAGGGTCGATTGTTAAAAATATTAAAATCCTCAGAAATGTGTCTTGTCTTGGCTACCTCCTCGATTTTTATCAAATGCAAATCATTTGCGTGGAATTGACAGACATTGAACTGAAGTGCTGTAAAATAAATGCTTCTGTGAAGCGAACATATGTATGCATTTGAATAATCGCACAGGCCTTCGCTGCCCACGCTCCAACTGTGCACACCAGCTCCTCAGAGCGGCCTGCTGATCGTATCATTGTAGGACGATACATTATTTGTAACACTGTTTCAATTCTGCCGTCTCAGACCACCCGCCGGCAAGGAGGCAAGGGGTCACACACGGGGAGGTGAGAGCGGGGGCCGCAAGCGGCACCGAGAGCCGTCTCCGGAGCAACCACAGTACGAGGATGAGCATCAGGATGAGGAAATGCTGGATCACCAGCAGCAAGAGGAAGAGGAGGAGGAGGAGGAGGGAGGCTCGCAGTATCACACTGGCTCCCCCTCGTCGCCTCTACATCACCAGTACAGCCCCCAGCGCGTGCACCGCGGGCACCATTCAGATGGCTATGAGAGCCCCCACGCGGAGGAGGAGGCTCTGACCCCCCCACCTCGCAAAGAGGTCCGGCACTCGAAGCAGCACAAGGAGCCAGGCAGGGCCCAGAGCTCTCGCGGCGACCGGCGGCCAGAGCGCCGGCATCAGCACGGCCAGAAGGGCGGCGCCGAGGGGAAGAAGCGCAGCGCGGAGGGCGACCGGCGGCCTGGGGCCACACACAAGTCCTCCAAACACGGTGTCAGGGACATGAAGAAGGAGAAGAGAGCGGCAAGCGAGGGTGAGTGCGTGTGTGTGTGTGTGTAGGTGTGTGTGCGCATGCCATGGGGTGCCCAGTACCCAGTTACAGGTTGTGAAGGGTGATCGTTCACTCCATCTGCGATCGCTTCAACAGCCCCGTAACCAAAATAATGTTCCCACACCCTGAAGCCGCAGTCCTTCCCCTAACCTGACTTTGTCTGTTTGTTAATCCCAACTCCTGATCCCAGATTTCCCATTTTCTCTGCCTTTAGCTGTGTCGTGTCCTGCCTGTTCAGCTACAGTTCAGCTGTATCTGTAAGATTTCAGCTGATTCCATGCCACAGTAACTGAGAGAGAAAATGTCGGCCGCAATGCTGCATGGACCCAGCGGGGCGGCGCTGTTTGGCAGTATGCCTGGGCATGCTCACATGCCCAGACTTCTCTCCTGGAAATCTTATTCTGGTGCCCTGAATTTCTGATACATTCCAGTTTGTTTTTTTTACAGTTTTAGCTTTGAGACAGAGTGACACGTGTGATGAGCTCTACTGTCTTGGGCTGTTTTCACTGTTTTCTTCCTTCCCTCCCCCTCTCGGCATTTGTTTTAGCCCCGTCGCAGGACCGTCGGCCTTCCCCAGAAGTGCCACGGGGTGGCGACGAAGAGGAGGCATACGAGGCCCCGACCATGTCCTTCGAGTCGTTCTTGACGTACGACGACCCCACACCGAGCAAGAAGAAGAAGAAGCCCTCCCGTCCTGGGCACACCGCTGCCCCCCCCGCTGCACACGCCACGCCCCCCAAACCAAGCAAGACCAACGGGATGAGCACAAAACGTCCTGATCCGCCAGCCGAACCCACCCCCACGCCGCCCACCCCAGAGAGACGCCGGAAGGTGAGTCGGCTCTTGCGTCAGTCTGGCTCATTGCCAGCGATGCTTTTGCTCCTCTCACTCTGGCCGCTGTGAATGCTGCCCCATCTGCTCCTCCTGCCCCCCAGGTTATCGACGTGGTTCCCGCTCTCCCCGAAATCCCGCTGCCGGCCATCCAGCCCAACTACCGCCCCCTGCCGTCCATCGAGGTCACCCCGCTCTCCCCCCAGCGGCGGAAAGGTATCACCTGTCTCACCTGTATCACCGCCTCCTCTGCATCTGGCTGTCTGTGGCCATTATGAAGCTGATACTGGGTGGTGTTTTTTCAAACTTGTTATACTGCCTACCACCATTACGGTGACACGTAAATGCAGAGATACCTCTGCTTATCACTAGAGGGAGCTCAAGTACCACTAGTGGTACACATACCATAGCTTGAGAACCGCTGCCTTAAGGTCTGTCTCAGGTTTGACTCCCCTACTGTCTCCACCCCTACTTTCTATTATAGTTCCAGTATCATGTGATGAGGAAGATGCGGGCTTCACTGGCCGGCGCCTTAACACCAAGATGTCGGTGTATTCCGGCGCAAAGACGACCTTCCTGCCAAAGATGATAAGCCTGTATGAGCAGTGCATCCGAGTTCTACAGAACAACATTGACTGTGAGTCTTGCTGCTGGTCACATGACCCTGTTGATCTGGTTTTAACACGGCACAGTTTTGTGTTGACAGTAGTGAGTGACTGTGCTGACAGTAGATCTGCCATGCAGTGCCCTGTTTGTTGGTATATGTGTGTCAGTAGTAACTGGTATGGCACATTACATATACGCACTAATAACGAATAACAGTGAAGGCTGTATTTTGTAAAAGTGACTATGGATTTTGACTTTTGTATCAGTGTCATTTATGTGCAACATTTATATGATAACATATTGTTGCATTATGGACTGTGCACTAATGGGTGTGTGTGTGTGTGTGTGTGTGTGTGCGCCCTAGCAATTGACGAGGTGGGGGGTGTGCCCTACGAGATTCTAGAGCCTGTTCTGGAGAGATGCACTCCTGAACAACTGTACCGCATCGAGCAGTGTAACCAGGTACCACAGACACACACGGACACACACAGACACGCACATGCGCTCCCTCCACACCTGTTCAGCTCACTGCACATAGGGTAATGTTATGTGGTGAACACAGCCCCGTATACCGCAGCGTTATGCCCTGTGTGTGTGACACAGCTGCAGAGCAGCACACACGGCACGTAATGCGGAATAACGTGGTGTGCAGTGAATGTGCACAGCAGCGCCCCCTGTGGCTCCTTCCGCAGTGCTTCATGGAGGAGACGGATGAGCTGTGGATGCGGCACTGCCAGCGCGACTTCAAGCACGGGAGCCCGCAGGAATACGAGTCCTGGCGTGAGATGTACCTGCGTCTGCACGACGAGCGCGAGGAACGCCTGCGCATGCTCACGCAGAACATCAGCTCCGCCCACGCCAACCGGCCCAAAGGTACTGCTAGGGCCTGCCTCCCCCCACCCCGGGGGTCACCCCGTGCAAGATGGGAAATGCAAAAAGTAGCATTCCAATGTACCCATACTTGTACTCATGCAAATGGCAGATAAAAGATCATAGCATTTCACCTCAATCGCGTCTCGGACAGGCCGGCAGGTGAAGATGGCGTTCGTGAACTCCGTGGCGAAGCCCCCCCGTGATGTGCGCCGCCGACAGGAGAAGTTCGGCACTACAAGCGGCGGAGGGGCGTCTGGCTCCGGCAACAGTGCAGCAGTTGGCATGTCTGCCCCAGCTCAGTAAGGAACCTTCTAGAAACTCTGATGGGGGTGGAGGTCATATTTTACCTGCTGCAGGCAGACGGATGCTTCTGGGTGCCTCTCCTCCCCCATTAACCCCCGTATAACATAATGGGAACACTTTCTTTTATCAGAATGCGGACAGCTACCCTCTGCAGCTCCCAGCCTGGTGACTCCGGCGGACCTGCCGAGATCAGTCTCCCCCCACCTCCCCGCTTCTCCACTGGGGGGCATAGCAGTTCGGGGAGTGCCCACAGCGCTAGAGACAAGCCACAAGTCAAGAGTGAGTGTCACGGTCGCGGGGCAGGATTTGGGATGTCTGTGTGCCCGCGTCTCTGTCTGTGGCTTCATGTGGCCTGTCTGTCTGCCTTGCAGAGATTGCCCCCATGATGGCCAAAACTATCAAAGCTTTCAAGAACAGGTTCTCTCGCCGATAGAGGAGGGATCAACATGAGAGAGAGAGAGAGAGAGAGAGAGAGAGAGGAGGTGGAGAAAGAGTGGATCCCGGCGGCGCCCAGACTCTTTCCCTTTTAAATTTTAAAATGAAAAGCGACACAGGAGATGAGCAGTATGCTGCTTTTACAGACGCCCCCGCCTTCCTGTGGAACATCGTGTCCTGCCTAGTCACACGGGCACCACACACACACAGACACACACACGCACACACAGACAGACATACACACACATACACACACCGCATTCACTCATGGGCGCATTTCAGATGAAACACAAACCCGCTCGGATCGGCCGCTATTGGGCAGGTTTGTACCGTTTTGCCATGTGCTTCACCTCACTTCACCATGGTGAAAATCACCCGGGTGTCTCTGTGTCTCAGAGTCCATTGTGAACCGAGTAAGAGGGAGTGTTAGTGAAAAATGAATAGGAATAGATGGAGAAAAGTATGGTAAGGAGGATTGGGGGCGGGAGGGTAGGCATGGGAGTGAGGTGACGCGGGGGGGGGGGGGGGGGTTTGAAGGTTTTTGGAAATGATGTCAGAAGAAAAGAGTGAGCTTTACTCTACTGTATTTATTTCTGTAACGGGGCCCCGTACTCTGAAGCTGGGTCCTGTGATAGTGGATCAATATAGTAATTTTAATAGATTTTAATAAATGTTATATGGACATTTTTAATAAAATCAACCAGTTGCCCTCAAAGGGATTCTGCAGTCATTGATTTGTGTATTTTCTACATTCAGTTTTAATTCTTTTTTTATTATTAATTTCCAGGACATGGGCTTGGGGATCGTGGGGGGCGAGCATGTTCCTTGGTGTACAGGAATATTTGTAACCTGCCTGATAATGATGCAGTTCTATTAAAGAAGACACACAGAAATGTACAGCATTCATGAGTGGCGTTTAGAGAGAGCTTTGCTCAGGTAATCTTATGATGCATCTGCGAATGTTGCTTATAAACAGACTCCATGTTTAATTTTCATTTTATCTTCATCAAACTATGATGAAATTGGATACTTCTGCAAAATGACAAGAATATATTTAAAACATAAGTTAGAAACCTGGATTGTCAGTCCCCCATCATGTTGTTGTTACTGTCTTTTAAACAGGGGGTATTATTATGCTGCAGGCCTAATCCAGTTTGGATGCTGGGTATGATTTTGATGTGCTGTCGCTTTTTTGCAAGTTCACCACCAGTACTGTAATTGCATGCAATTTGACTAAAAACCGCAAGGTGGTGCTGCCGTGCGGTTTCTTGGACATTGAACGTGGAGCCTGGGACCAAACCTTGATCGTAAGGTGGTTGTGTGTCACTCGTCTTTCTTGATGAGAGAAATGGATGCTGATAGACTGCATCTGATGAATATTACGCAGTCTAGCTACCCCAAAAGAGGAATCTTCCTGTTTCTACGTATGGCGACAGTAGATTAACATTTGCTACTGTTTACTGGTGACATGCTGAAACATTTTCACAAAGAATAAAAAACACTGTCCATAAAATGGCGATTTTGAAATCGAATACAAAATGAAGCCCTGAAAGATGGGTAGAACTTTGTACAACCTCAGCATTTAAGTACGATATCAACTTTAGGACTTTTAACGATAGGGGAAAATAATGCGAAGAGCGAAATGTTGATTGGAGAATTACAGTCACGTGTCCTGAAGCTTTTTCCAAGTCACGTGGGCAGAGTCGAAACACGCTGTCTCGTTTTGCTACTCTGCAGTTTAGGGAAGCGCAGTGGGTAACGTTATTGGCGTCTGTTAGTCCCAGAAATAACGTGGTGTCTTTTGTGACTTTGTGTCATGTCTGGTCACGGCCACGGACACGGGGGCCACAGTCACGGGTGTGGATGCGAGGGTGAGCACGAGCCAGCGGAAAGGGGCCTGGAATACGGGCTCTACAGGCGCATTGACATCGAGAAAGTGCAGTGCCTGAACGAGAGTCGTGAGGGCGATGGTAAACTTGTTTTCAAACCTTGGGATCAACGCACCGACCGAGAAAAGGTACCGGTGATCAGCTGATTAAGTTTAAGCTCTTACTCTGGAAGTACTCTTTATACTTCTCTATATAAATTTAATATATTGCGCCTATAGGGATCGTGGCGTATTGGAAAATAAGGGACGGATGGGAACTCTAATTGTGCTTGTGTTAGTGCAACTGCGACGTCACAGTAGCCATTTTGGCTCAAGTGTCACATTTTCAGACTAATGTAGGCCTATTAAAATACAATATAAAGTTAATAATTTTGATAATGCACAATGCATACAGAATCTTGGAATATGTGACCTGTTAGTTTTGTCTTTTTTCAGAAAGCAGCTGAACTGTATGGGAGGAAAGAAAATGTGCTTTGAGATGAAACTTGATGATCTTTTGCTCCTCTCCTCCACAGTATGTTGACAGCGATGCTGATGAGGAACTCCTCTTCAACATCCCGTGAGATGCTCCGACACGCATAGCCGTCACTGGCATGCTTAAATTGGCATAGTAACCGTAGTACATAGTGTTTTTTCCCCTTGCCCTCTCTTTCTAACAGAGTGGCATGTTTGTGTGTATTTTGGGTCCCCCAAGATTCACCGGCAGTGTGAAATTGAAAGGGATCATCATTGCTGGCGAAGATGACGACTCACACCCTGCTGAGATGAAGCTGTGAGTGGTGATAAAGCATTGGTCCATCTGACCAGCTTGTCTGTTTATGGCAGCTACTGTTTATTAGAACAGGGACAAAGAAAAATCTACTTGGCAAAACAAAGACAGTATTTTACTCTGATTACTTAGGCATACAGGAAAGGTGTTTGTATTTTGAATTGAATTTACTGTGCCTTTCGTTAATGCTAACCTAAGCATCGCTAATGAAATGTAGCTGCAGATATTAGTTTTGCATACTGCTAGTCTCCCTGGATGTGAGTGTCAGGGCAGATGTCCGCAGCCTGCCAGCCTGGCGCAGATATGCCCGTCATTGCCGCCGTCTCACTGTGATGCCGCAGCATATGTGAGTCCTGGTGTCTGAGCTCTCTCGCTCCCAACAGGTACAAAAACATCCCCCACATGTCATTCGACGACACGGGCAGAGAACCTGAGCAGGCGTTTCGGCTCAACAGGGACCCGCTGGCGCAGCTGGAGTACCCGACTAAGTGAGGTGGCGCCCGTGTGTACGCTCACATGATGATGTAGTGGGTCACATGACCGTGCCAAGTCCCCCCGCTAAATGGTCGTGTGTTATTAGGATAGTACATGCAGCTAATAAAGAGTGAGTGTGATATAACAATCATTGTTTTCAGGCACCCCTAGCTTCGGGGCTAATGCTGGGAACAATTAACCCATCCATCCGCTTTTTATTTTTAACCCCACACCCCTCCGAATGTCAGCGCCCCCAATCCCATCATCCCGTATGCTCTCCCCCCCCACCCCAGGATTGCGCGCTTTTCCAACGTACAGCACCTGTCCATCCACTTGTCGCGGAACTTCGGGGCAGAGTCCACGCGTGTCTATTACATCGGCCTGCGTGGCGAGTATGCAGAGGTGAGGTGAACGCTGCTGTTTCCTCATTGTCCTGGGCCTGCTTCACCCTTCACTTTCACACTGTTGTCTGCTTATACCAGTTTTGATCTGAAGTTGTGCTTCATTGGTTAGGTTGACACTTTTTTCTTTTCCCTCAAAAGTGCTTAGGAATCAAACATTTGTTAAGCATATGGGGAGTTTGATTCTGTATCTCTAACTACTCTTTTTATATTCCGCTAGTGCCCCCTACTGTTTGTCCTATTGCTCCCCCCCCCAATTTCACTGTGTTCCTCCAATCACATGTCAGAATAGAACTTGAAACTATTGTCCTTTTACATCGAACTCACAGGCTCACAGGCACGAAGTGACGATCTGCAACTACGAGTTGGCAGCAAACCCGGCAGATCACAAGGTGGAAACACTCACTCCACAGACGCACTTTATCTCCTGAGGAAGATAAAGATTATCAGGGTGAGAGAAAGGAAATGCGAAACGTGATGCAGTGGGGAGTGGCAGTTGAGGCAGAAGGATGAGAGAGGCGCGTGAAGAAGCTGTAAGCAGGTCTCACCAGTCCAAGGCTGCAGAATGGATTTTTGCCGGATATTTGTACAGCGCCAAATTTGCTGCATAATTTATAATAAAGGGTGGTCGCTTCAGTGTTTCCATTTTTGCTGTGAATGACTTGTCACATTTGGTTCATGGATATTTCAGTCCACAGAACACACATTGAAATTTGCAACTTGGCCCATTTCTGTCTGTTCGTTCCACTGCTGCAAAGCCGCTTGAGTGTATTTTGCAAGAATATAACGTTATGTGTACTGAACCTGTTTTGGTGTTGAATCTAGTTCCCACCATGCTCCATTCAGCCCATGCAGTTTTCTCGTCAAGTAAAATTACTGCACAATAAAACGATAGGATTTGTGCTAAAATAAACGGCTGTTTTTTCCCTTCTCGTGCATTTTCATTGCGTCCTTACTCCCACGCGCGCAAAGCACCGTCTCGTGGTCGTGTTGCGATAGGAATGCTGCGCTGTATCCAAACTGGCTGCAGCGGAGCTGCGGGACCGGCTTTTATTTATTGCTTCCCAGCCTCTGCGACGGCGCTTTATGTCATGTCGGAAAACATTGGGGGGAACTCTGACGTCACTTATATTCAAATGCCCCAAAACTAACAATATTATATAACGGTTGGTGCATGTGCAGAGTCCGTGTCACACCGTGGAAGTGCCGCATCCAGAGCGAGTCGATTGAACTCTTTAATTTATTAGTTAATGCGGTTCTCTGGCGAAACACTACAGGTTGTATATATTTACATGCATAATCAACATATGTACCCACTTAATATCATATAATGCTCGTTTCATTATACCCTTTAGGATATTCAAATATTGTTTTAAGAACGGCACGTCAATTGCATTCATAAAAACTTTAAAACATCCTGGTATTTATGTTTATTTAAAAAGACATGGGAATAAAAATCGAAAACATCTGATTTGTTGTTTTGTGGTGTGGTGTTACGTTGTAGAGATTGCCGGCTTGTTTCTAAAAGAATAGTTTTGTTAAATACACCTAATCGCACTGTTATTGGTGATAGTTCGCAATGGCCGCCGTGCCGGAGCCGCGGTCGGAGGGCGTGTGGGCGCGATGATCTCACTCGGGTCTGCGCCGCCCCTCTCCGGCACCAGTAGCGGAAGTTCCGCTGTGATCTGGGATAGTGAGCGGTGAGTACACGGTTCTGCGCTAGCGGGCCTCGGTGATACATTGTAGTTTCGTGCCGATCAGACTGACGCTGACTCGGAGCGGCTCTCGCAAATAGGCAGGTGGGCATCGGGGAAGCGCGAAATAGGAAGTACAGGCTCGAAGCAGACTTTTTACCGGATTGGGTTGGGATAACTAATGAGCGAGATTACAGATTCGGCTGTATGGCTACTGGTTCATTGTCGGAATGTGCTGCTCTGCTGTGTTAGAAAGGGCTCTTTGAGGGGATGTAATACCCTATACGCGTTTGATTCAATGTAACTCATCCGCGTGACATTATCTTGTGCTAAATTTTTCCACCCAAATGACGAAGTGAAGCTCCTCATCCATTCCGATCCTCATTGTTTCTTCCTCCCCTCCCCCTCTTCCTCTAAATCCAGTGCACGGTTAATATTGTATTTCAGAGTGTGCAGTTCTTTCGTGCCGCTGTCAGATCCAAGGGTCAGTCTGTGTCCCGTCCACCCCGCGCGTCACCGTGCGTGCGAAATAACATCAGGTGCGCCGTGTGTTGCATGCTTTATGGCGCTTCTGTTCATCTCGAATTTTGTAAGCTGTCCAACTTGGGGCTCCTTTAAAACATCCAGCTGTAATGCAATTGCCTCTTTTGTTAATTATACGGTTTGCGCGATACTGAGTGGGCGTAGGAACCGAGAGGCGGCTTGACAATTCTAGGAAACTGATGCGAGCACAATGTCTTTGCTGTTCTCAACTGTTTACATCTCTCCCCTTATGTCGGTTTTTAGCCGACTGTAACACTTTGTTCTTTAAAGTGCGGAAAAGTACTGAAGAGGGGAAACTGTACCATGTGGCGAGCTATGGATTTAGTTTCGTAGCTGTGATGGATCGTGTCAGTCTGCTTTAGCAGGGAGGTGGTAGTAGTCGTGGCGACTAACGTATTTCTTGAATGACATTTTTAAGCACTTTGATTTTACTCCCAGCCATCGCTGCAATTGACGTTTAATGGAAATCAGATGAAAGCTCGTGATTTCGATGCCTGGATCAGGCGCACACAGTGCATCTCTGTATGCCGCGAGACGACCATGAGATCCACCCCCCCCCCCGATAGCAATAAAAACGGCATAACTAAACATCACTGACGCCGAATTCAATTACCCGTCTCCCAGAGCCATTTACAAGGAGCTTATGACGGTATAACCTTTAATGAGGCCCGTGAGATAGAAATGGGATGCAAGGCCGATAGTCGTTTAGAGTCAAAGGAAACCTGCATCCGCACCGTCATGTGCCTGCATGTTTGAGGCAGTTGGAAGGTTTTATACATTTTACACTTTGTTTCATCTGGTTAGCTGGGGCTTGTCTTCACTGTGACCTACAGTTTAAGCCACATGTTCTGGTCGATTACATGAGCAGGGCCCATGATTCCTCCATTGCATTTCTCTAATTATTACTACAGCATTAATTGCAGCTGCTTGGCATTGCAGGAGCATCTGTCTGATCGGAGAGCTTGGTTGTGAAAGAGTCCATCGCTGATGCGGGGGCTGTTTGCCTGGTACTTGTCATGGTTGCGCATATGTACAGTGATTTTCAGGCACACGGCTTGAAAAATAAGCAATTTAGCCGAAGTTAGCAAGTCGAAGATGCATCATGTTGTTTACATGGGCCAGGGGAGGGAAAGAGCAGCTAGAATCTGTCCAGCGTCTTACATATTCTGTCTCGTTCCCCAGCGGCGTGAGGTGTTGTGGCACAGCAGGTAGTGAGGCGGTTAAGGATCTTTTTTGTAAATTAAACTCCCAGAATATTCCCTGCTGGCCCTCCCATAAGTAGCGCACGTTGGCCTCGCCTTCTGCAGCGTATGTGAGTACAATTTCAGTGGTTAGCTTCCTGAGTCACTTTGGATGTAAGCAGAGGAGTGAAGCTTAAGTATTTTTTTTGGAATGCAGTCCAGCAAATTTTATAATGTGCTTCAATTAGCGCTTGGTTTAGAAAGGAGCCGCTGGATGAAATAGGAGCTGAATATGAAAGGGCAAGTGAAAGGAAAACGGCACCGAATCAGGGTGGAATATTCCGGCATGTTCGGCTCTGCTGCTCCCAGGGTCATTGAGATGCATGCACTCTCTCTGTTCTCTGTTCTGCCTCTAACAGTGTTTTTCTGAGCTTGCTCGTCCCCCCTCCCTTTCTACACACCTCTGTTTCTTAAAGGTGTCATTTTAAGGGTGGATTTACTCACTGTGACTCAGTATCAATAAATCACCCACTTGCTTTGGTATATAATATCTCCCCCCAATATTCCTCTTCAATGGTTCCCCTCTCATCCTGTCTTAAAAATACTATTTTATCCTTCAGTGGCTTATGTTCCTGCTTACCTGGAAGCGCTGGTATATTGATTGGCACATCAGTAAGGTACCTTTACATAGTAACATGGTGAATACAGGGTAGTACAGGTGACACACACTTCAAAACTTGTTTCGTTTTAAATCCTATGGATGTCATAAATGGGAAATCTAGCGATGTAGTTGGGGCTGCATGATATCACTTCGCAACATTTCCGTGAGTAACATTGCCGTGTTTATAAAACAAGGAGATAAACCTACCTGAAATCAACTGTAGCCAAATAGAACTTGTTATATCTACCAACAGAGTGTGTCAAGTTGGTGGTGTAGCTGTTAGCTGTGTCAACAAGCAGGGCCAGCAAACGCAGTGTGATCGCGCATGTGTGCGATATATATATCGTCCAGTCCTACAACGCAGTGTTAAAAGTTAAATCGCACAGAAACAGTCATTGGAACACCATTTCAATGATTAATAGTCCTACACTTTCTAATATATGTCAATTTTCCTGCATTTTTGCTTATCATGGGTTATTTTTCTCTTGTGCCTTTGTTTTGTTAGTTAAAATGTAACCTTGTGGGATTCTGTTACAATTCACTCATTTAGCAGGCAGTTCTGTTCAAAGCTGCATGCACGTCATTGTCAGCAAGTATGCGGCAGATGCGGAAGTCAGCAGAATGGGTGACTCCTGTGGATGATTGTTCGTTTCAGTTCGGGGGGAAAATTTTGGTTACAATGAAGCATAAAGGAGTCAGTTTCGAACTTGTCAGTCTTTTATCCAAAATGCAGCATAATCAAGCATCTAGATGATGATTTTAATACTGGTTTGACCTTCAGGTTCATTTAGTCCAAACATTTAAAGGAAATTGACGATGACTGTAATTGGGAAAGAATCAGCGTTCAGTGGAAGCATGCAGGGTGTCTCTGCCTGCTGAATCGTTCACATTCAGAGAGGGTTTGTAATGTAGTTCACACAAGTAAGCACTCTACATGTGACCAGTTGGCATGAAGATCTTGGTGTTATAAAAATGTTAATTTTAGAGGGATATTAGATACTACAAGGAGTTTGTATATACTCTGTTAAATTCCTGCACTACGCGGCCAAAGAAATTACTTCTGAACTTGGGTCTTGAACTTCGTTAGGGGTCATTTACATAATACATTCTTCTCTTCTTTAACGTTGATAAATATTGCTAAACTGCAGCTTTTGGCTTAATTGTCATGCATGAAAAGCCTTGTTTAGGCATTTTGTGGTATGAAAGTTACAAACGCATATGAGCTCTGAATCTTCCGTTACAAAGACATACTTTACCTCCTTTTTTCTGTCTGCCCCAACCTTTTCTTTTCTACTTTATGCTTCTTGTTTTGACAGAAATGTGGTGAAGGAGGAATGTAAACTAGGGAGACTCCATCCTCATCTATTAGTTATAGTACTATGGTACTCTTTTCTCTTTATACCTGTACAGAAGTGCTTCGGCCAGCTAAAGGACTCACACTGGTTTGCTGGTGATCAGAATAAACTGGTAGAGCTACCAGGTAAAGTGGCTCTGTTATTAGTAACATGGGTGCTTCAGTTAGGCAGTTGCGTAAATAGATATGCAAGGCTGCAAATCAGCAGCTTTGATGCCTCATGACGTTCGTGGAATGGAGTAACTCATGCAGGGTGTGACCCTATTGTTCTAAAGTTTTTTTTTTTTCCCCCCCTCTGAATTTTTAGCACCCCCTACAGTGTATGTGTGGCAACAACATGTCTGTGCCGCCGCTTGCTGAGGCCGTGACGGTATCGGGGTTGGAGAAGGAGACCGCTGCGGTAAGAGACCAGCTGGCTGTCTGTGTGGCACTTTGCCACCGTGCTGCAGTGTAGGCAATGCGACTGCAGTTCGGCCTTCATAATGCAAATACCCTGGTATTTGCGTAGTACTATGCGTCTTGCCAGCGGCTGCATCGTAAAGCCGGTGTCGTTTTTCCGTACCTTGATAAATGGATCTAGAGCAGCGTTTTCCAGTCCGGTCCTCGAGGACCTTCAGACAGTCCACGTTTTTGCTCCTTCCCTGCCCAGGAGCTGGGCGGAAGCAGAATTGTGGACTGTCTGGCAGGGAGAGGGGAGGGAGTAAAACCGAGGACCGGCCGTAAGTCTCTAAGGACCAGGCTGGGAAAAACTGGTCTAGGGGCAACTAAACAAAGCCCGAATTACTGGTTACTGCAGTTCTAGTTTTATTCTAGGTTAAGCAGGACTTAATGTGAACAGCATTGCAGTGTGTAAATTCCTGTGATAGAATCACTGCAGTCCCTAATATTACTGCTGATTTCTGCGTATCCTAGTGAATCCTTTCGACTTAAGATAATTGTCAATAGGAAACCAATCGTAGAATCAAGGAATTGTAACATCATAGACAAAATGACTGGCTAGATGTATCTTTTGCAAATTTAGTGAAATTAGCAGTAATACCATATGGATATGACTGGGTAAATTTTACTGGAAATGAAAGTTACCATTAGAATGTTTTATAGTCCCTGCAAGAACTTCCAGCTGAATGTGAGGGAGGATTATCGTGTTAACAAGTCTAACGTGAGATTTTCATTGTGTTTAAAATCAGCTTTTGGTCAAAGGAGCTGTCTTACTGAAACTAGAATGCCCTGCATTTGGAGCTAATGAATTCAGGAGGTGGATCAGGCAGAACATAGTCAATGTCTGTGGATTAATCTTGAGAAATAGGTCGACGTGACAGGCTCAGAATCCACATTGGGCAGAACTAAATTCAGGGATGTATTTGCTTACATCTACAACAGTGTATTTGCAGCAAGATTTTGCGAGCAGAGTTTTGTTTTGTGATGGTGTTTTCTGCAAATACATAACCATCTTTATGCTGTACATAAGTTTGTGATATTGTATGTTTTAAATAAGTGGCTAAAATAAATGTCCCACCTTTTTTTTTTTTTTAACAATGAGAGCTATGGTTACAAAGGAATTGCACCGGGGTCAGAGGGGGGGTCTCCCTGTGTGTATTTTGACTGGAAGTTGTCACAATCGACTAAAAGTGTTTTGGTGATTGACCAGTTGGCGATTAGTCTAGGATATACGTCTCCAGCCAGAACCAGCCTAGCCAATCCCTAAAATTTAGCTTATCTTTTTTAGTTTATCTTTTTTAAAGTATGTAACCTTGGTTTTGGTACCTCACTCTGAGGGTAGAAGCTGACCCATTGTCAGGGCCTTGATGTATGCAGAGCTAATCGCATCCTTTCTGTGATCCGTCTGAGCCGATACACTGAGCTTTCTGTCCTGTCTGCAGGTGATCTTCCTCCATGGGCTTGGAGACACAGGGTGAGTCCTTGGTCCATCTGTCCAGCTCCCCCCCCCGCAAGTTGACACTGACGGTTTTGGCTACAGTAGCTTTAGCAAAGACAAAGTCAAATGTCAGGACAAGCTAACAAACTAGGGAAAAAAAACAAGGCAAGCAGATACAATAAAACAAATGACTCTGATTCTTTCTGGTTATTTAATTGTAGTTAAATATGTAATTCTGTAACAGTAGGAAAACCTCTACACAGCTGTTAACTTTGCCTCTGTTCCTTGTGTCAGGGAAGGTTGGGCGGAGACCTTGATGTCGATCAGGCTGCCATACATCAAGTACATCTGCCCTCATGCGTAAGTCTGATCATTTTTGTAGTTCCGTGTGTCAGTCTTTGCCCCCACCCCACGCCCCGCCTGCTATGCTGACCCCGTCCTGTCCCCTGTCCCCTGAACTAAACGCTTCTCTCTCTGTTCATAGGCCCCTGATTCCTGTCACCATCAACATGAAGACGACGATGCCTGCCTGGTGAGTGTGCATGCACCTGCAGGCCTGTCTGCTTCTTTCTGTCGTTCATACATTTTTTCCCCCCAATTATCTAGTTATTATTCTGCTAGGTTAAATGTTTCATTTGATGTTGGCACTTGTGTTTTTGTTTTGCCATCTTGTTTTGTGTGAGACGAGCACATGTGCAGGGCAACGATGGTTAACCCTAAATAAAAAAGAAGCTATTGTTAAGGATCATGTAATTGCTTTAAAATGAGATAAAGTGGGGAGTGTGTGTGTGTGTTTCAGTGTAATCAGCATTGTTATATTTTTCTCCCGCCCCCCCCCCACAGGTTTGACCTGATGGGCCTCAGCCCTGACTCTCCAGAGGACGAGGCTGGCATCAAGCGAGCAGCAGAGAACAGTGAGCAGATCCTGTCTATGAGCTGGACGTGGTGCGCTAGGCGCTCCCCCATAGCTAACACTTATCTCTCTCGCTGGCAGTCAAGGCCATCATAGACCACGAGACTAAGAACGGGATTCCTGCCAATCGTGTGGTGCTGGGCGGCTTCTCTCAGGTGGGCCCGCATTAGCGAGCAGCTCCTCAGCTCAGCCATTAAGACATTAGAATAGTAAATAATAAACTGTACTATTGGTTAAACTATTTTACATCATGTTAATAGCTTAAGCATTTTTTTTTCCTGAAATGAGTTATTCTAAGTCCTAATGTTGAGAAGTATTTAATGCAAAGTGATTCAAATTCATATTCTTTTGGGTATGGAACACTCTAATGATATTTAATAATTATTTCAGCACATTTATCTCTATTTTACATTCCTGTCAGTCTTGTGTGGGGAGCAAATTGTCATGTTTGTTTCTGTATTTATTTATTTATGAGAACGTTCACTATGCTTTCTAATGATGGCCAAAAGGACACTTCATGAACCATTTGCAGTATTTTCTGACCCCACTAGATGGCGCTTTTTGTTCAAAAATGGGCTCAAAGCAAACCAAGAGCACCATCTAAGGGGGTCAGATAATACAGCAAATGGTTCACAAAGCATCATTTTGGCCATCACTAGTGTTTTTTGTGATAGTATGCATTGATGTCTCCGTTTCTCTCTCTCTCTCTCTCTATCAACCCGACTTTGGCCTCCTTGCCACCAGGGTGGCGCATTATCTCTCTACACAGCCCTTACCTGTCAGCAGCAGCTAGCTGGTGTGGTCGCTCTCAGCTGCTGGCTACCACTACACAAGACCTTCCCTCAGGTTAGAGTTCTGCTTGGCAGGGTTTTATCAGGAAATGTATTTTTCACTGGTTCCATTGTTGACTTTCAAATATACATCTGAAAGATTTTTTGTGTATATATGTGTGTAATATATATTAATAGGGTATGTTTTTGTGGTCAGTTGCCATCTGCTCCTCTGTATGTGGGCAGTGTATGATCTCAGGGTCTGCAGAGTGATTTCACTGTTAGTTACTCCAGGGACTGGCTCACCCTGCTATGTCAGTTGTTGCTGCCTGCTAAACAAATAAAATGTGAATATATGTGCTTAAACCTTACTGTCTCCCCCCCAGGCAGCGAGCGGCAGTGCAAACCGGGAGACGCCCATCCTGCAGTGCCATGGGGAGTTGGACCCCATGATTCCCATTGTGTTTGGAGCACAGACTGCAGAAAAGCTCAAGACTATTGTCTCACAGCAGAAAGTCACCTTCCGCACCTTCCCTGGCCTTCCGCACAGCTCCTCCCCTCAGGTTGGTGTCTCTGAGTGTGTGTAACTTGCCCTTACCTGCCTGCAGCTAACCCTCTCCGCGGCTTCTAATATTTCCCATCTTTACTGACTTAATGTTTTGTTTTGTGAAAAATACCCTTACGAATGAGGCCTGCACGGTATCACATTGTGATTATGTGGCACATGCGCAATGATCGCACGGGCTTCAGATGACGGACGTAAACGTTTGACCGGACGGTAGCTTTTTGGTACTATATGAACATTTACTTAGGCCCACAATTTGGTAAGCAGATTAGTAGTGCACCTAAAATATTAATGAGAGGTGTATCATGATGGACAAAAGTTAATAATCTGTATGAATTCGTCATGTCCTTATGTCTACATGTCGGATTTTAAACTGCAAGAAGTATCGCCACACCACCGGCATCCTTTTTACCTTATTTATCCCCTGTATCTCCTCTTTTAAAAGATGTTATGGCTGCTGAGCTGTCCCTTTCTTCACCGACGCTTCAGTGCTTATCACTTACATGATTTTCCAAAACAGTAGCATGTGGCATGCTCTGCTAACTGAATTTCATAAACATTAGGATACGTCGAATGTATTCCGATTACTACCTGGTGATTATTTCACACACACCATATAATCACGATCATATCACAATGTAATATCGTGCAGCCCTATTAAGAATGATTTTTTTTTTTTGCGCATCTCTTAAGATTCTTCTCTGCGGCCTGTAGCCATGTGCCATCTGACACAGTCTGCTGTGCTCCTGCATCCTTCCCTTCCGCGCCACCCCGCACTGCACATGAACAGACCTTTTGTATTCCCTATATTTCTCTTGTGCCACAACCCAATTTATCTTGTGCCACTGGAGTTTCTTCTCCAGTCAATGTTGGCAACATGTACTGAGGCCCCCTAGAGGCAGATGTGCCACTTGGCAGAAGACGTCAAAGAGGAACGCACCCTGCCTGCCGGGCAAACTCCTGCACCTTGAAATGGCACCACAGTTTGTTTCACTTTAAAGGTGAATTCTGGGAAATGGTTGAAGTCGCTAATACTCTTCTTGCTCTCTGTTTTGCAGGAGATGTCTGCAGTGAAGGCCTTCATCGAGAAGCAGCTGCCCCGGATTTGACCTTCTTCATGCACTGTGAACCTATACAGTGATGTCACCTCCGACCTGCCATTCCCTCACAGGAAACAGCCATGAGCACCCTGCTATCCCCCCCCCACCCACACCCACACACACACCCACACTATACAGATGTACTGGTATAAACATACTGTGAACATGCACATTGTGCACACAGCCATGAGCACCCTGCTATCCCCCCCCCACCCACACCCACACACACACCCCATCTATACAGATGTACTGGTATAAACATACTGTGAACATGCACATTGTGCACACAGACTTCTCACATATATTTTTAGTTTAATTGCATACCCTTTCATATCCATTCATAACCATGTTGACAGCGTAAACACTGTTCCTGCCGTCTGCAGACTCATGACATCCACACACACTGAAGTGCATACACCGTAACGACCGTGCATGCTCTGGCCTCATCGCTAACAGGGCAGCTGCCAGTTGGCACAAACACTCTTCCGGAACTCTCCTGCTCGATCTTGACCTTTCTGCCCCCCCGCCCTTTCCTGTTATGCTTCTCCCATTTTCACTCCATTGCTGTGTGTGTCTGTTTTTGTGTGTGTCAGTAACTGGGTCAGTTTACAGGTCACTTCCAGCTCATCAAAGCCACCTACCCGCCTGTCTTAGGTCTCGCTTTGGGTTTTTTGAGCAGTCAGAAGCCCTTAATTTCTCTCCCAAGAACTGCGCGCCCAGTCCGGTCTGGTTTGATCTCACTTGTGCGCCTGCAGGTGTTTCCCATGATGCACTGCTGCATCCTGTGATTATTATGGAGGTTGGTCATGTTGTATAACGGGTGCTTTTGTCTGTATTCAGATCTCATATCTGATATGTTTGAACAAATTTGAATAAAACAGACCTAAGAATTAATGCATATTAGCCCAAGTTCATTTCTCTGGATGCAATTTGGACCTTATTGTGCTACATCAGACATCTTGTGTTTGTTGATTTTTAAGCACTGTATATAGATTCGACTTCAGGTTCTCAAAATTTTGTAACGTTTGATTTGTGATTCCTTACTGTTTCTAATGGGGACACAAACCTGAAGTTTCTTGCTGGCTTATGCACAATACTTTTTTTGTGTCAGCTTACAAGACGCATAAATTCTAACACATTTGAATATCAGAAAACAGAAGGGCAGTAATTTTTTTTCCAATGTCCCTGAATTTGCTGGCCCTGTAACAAATATGTGTTTTTTTTTTTTGTTTTTTTTTTAAATATTCAATAACAACTAAACAAAACACTTGGTTGTATTTTTTAATCAATGAATAAATGCAGGTAATACCTCCACCAGTACAGAATTGCAGATTTGGCTCAGAAGACAGCTGGCTCCATTCCCCTTGCAAATGCCATGTATGTTTGTGTAATCAGGATCATTGGGTTGAACTGGAGATAGAACGGAAAGATGTAACCATCCTTTGCACAACAAACTGACCCAATGTATTGACACTCCCAGACTGGTCAAAGATGCAGTGTCACTCTGCATTAAATCATTTCTCACTATTTCAACTGATTTCTTAAAACACCTAGGTACAGATTGCATTTTGAGAAAAGTACCTAACATGAAGACAGGCTAGAACTTTTCTAAATAAAATCACTAATGTTAAACAGTTTGGATTGGATATGAATGTAACCACCACTGCGTGGGAAAAAATCAGGTATTTCATTGGTCCCTTGTTTGTTTCTCTCTTTTGCGCCCTAACATGATTATTGGTTCTTTTCCATTTGCAATTTGTGCTTGATGACACAGGAGGAAATCAGATCTGTGTTGTTGTTCCTTGGCTATTGCATTCATGTGTCTTTTCCTTCTTAAGTAAAGCTGGTTTCGTAATTATCCCACTGTCGTGCTGGGTGGTGTTACCTCTGCCCGTGGCTCTTTTTGGGAGACAGGATTATACAATATAGGGAAGTGGTGATGCTCTACAGGCAGGTGATGCCCGCTTTTACCCTTCATTTCTGTTGATGTTCTTGAGTGGCCAGACTCATTTCCAGTTCGTCTTCCTTCCCATACCTGATGCCAGAGCAGTTGGTCATACAATTCACCTGTTTATGGCGCTGGATTGAACCGTACACTCATTGGGCTGTATCTTCTCACCCTGAATTGTTTTGTCATTGGTTGAAATTTATTCTAGTTTTGTGTTTTTATTTGGGTTTTATTTTCTCTTGTCAGCTTGTATTGTCATGTTAGTGTGGATTTATTTACTTGACAGTATGTTAGGGATGTAAACCTACTGTTATGGGAGCAGAGTTTTTTTTTTTTAACCGTTAAGGCACCTGTATATGAAATAAAACGACTCAAATACAGTTAACGAGTTTTTTTTTTTTAACGGCCTTTTTTAGCTGTCATTTCACGTAGATTCTTTGCTAAGATAGTTCGGTATCTGGGTTGCCAACTCTAGTCAGCTGGCGGTGTTCTGTCATAAAATACTACCTAGCGAGACGTGCTATTGAGCCTTTCTGCGCATGTGCAGTTCCACCGTCTTGGGATTAGGGTTAGGTTTTATGGGTTAGGGTTAAGGTAAGGGTTTTAGTGGTTTTGGGGGGTTACGGTTAGGGTAAGAGTTAGGGTTAGGGCTATCAGCACTACGGTAGCATTTTTCGACAAGGCAGCATATATCGACAGAACACCGGTATGTAACAGCTGCATTACCTTGTAAATAGTCTGTAGGGTTTGCAAACTGCCCCAACGCTTTTTATGTAGTTAATTTTAGGTTCATAATAGAATAATATAGATTTACCGTAATACTTATTGCGTAAGCTTGTTATAGAACGCGTGTGCGTCACGCCAGATGCGTGAGAGCTGGCAGCTTTGTGGTATACAAACAGATAGTAATCCAGGTGAACGACAGAAGTAATTACGTGTTCCACCATTAAAGACGAAGTCGTACTGGTGAGGCGGGAAAATTCAACCGATTGTAAGTAACGACGGTACAACAACTAACAAAAACGCGCTGAGCGGGCAGTCATGAAAATGTGTAAAGAATGTGGCAGTTCATCGCCAAGCACAGAATGATATTACAAAACACTTAAGGTCGACAGTTTGTGTTTAATAATACATTGGTACACACTGATAATCTGTCATTTTGAAAACATAATTGGTGCAAATACCATCAACTGTCGTTTGGGTTGCGCAATTGCTGTGCAAAAAACAGAGAAGTGCAAAATAGAAATAAAAAACTAATGTCCCAAACTTAATTTCCTTGTCTCTTGTCTATGGTTCGCCCCCCTAGTCAAATAACATCGCGTCTCACACCAAAAAGATAATATGTTTGCGAAGTACGGTTACTGTACACTGTTAGGATTCTTACGTCGCGTCAGATGAATTATTATTAAAGGCGTCATAAAGAATGTAAACGTCAATTGCTGTGCCTGTCTCAAACATAATCTACGATTAGCAAATAGCGAAGAAAAATACTTAACTTCAATCACCTCCCAAACTACTTCTTCAAGACCCTCAAGCATTCCAAATACAGTATTTGTTACATTCCACCAGACATTATGATTAATTAACTGAACTATATGCAGTGGCCATTTCATTAGGTACACCTAACTAGAACCAGATAGCACCCCCTTCTGCCACCAGAACAATTTCAAGGGGAGACATTGTTTTTTCCACACCATTCTTTGTAAATTCTAGACTCAGTAGAATAGAGAAAGATGGTGGTTCTTTCTGAGGGGCAGGTATCACTATGTCTGGCACCAGTGTTTAGCTGAACAGTAAGTGGACTTCGACCCTTTTTGCAAGCTTCAGGTTTTAAGCTGCAGCATTTTGAGCAGGTGTACCTAATAAAACAAGCTCATAATCAGTATTTCATAATGTTCTGTGGTGAAACTAAAGGGTTTCAGAACGACCAATCATGTCTTTAACTTAAGTCAGGGTAATATTTTGCTCCTGATGCTGTCTAACAACACATGTACCTACATGACCAACCCCAGACCAGAGCATATATTTTTACAACCTAGCTGATACATATTTTATGGATTGCCATGATAATTACAACATTGTACTGCATTTTCACTGCAACATCAAAAGAAAGGTCTGTCAGTATAACAAGGAACGTTGGATTTGCTCTGAACTAGTCATCCCTCCACAACGTCAGTCAAAACTCCACCACTGTACATAGTGCGCATGATAGGGTCCAACTGCTGAATTTTCCTCCTTATCTTTATGAGATTCACAATGGTCTTCAGTCCATCTTTGTGTGTCCATCCCTGATGGTGCAACTTGTCCTCTCCGAAGATCCACTTGTAGTAGAAACTGACCGACTGAGTCGTACAGGCCATAACTGCAAAATTCAAATGTTTGGCCTCAGCAGAAGGTCCAGATCTCATGTATTAATTATTGAGATTTTATCCATGTCCAGCTGGTGACATTGACTCATTGCAATGTGCTCACTTGCCCAAGACTTGGTCACTGACAAACATAGACAGCAGTGAAATTCCAGTCCATGAGTTCTTTGTCTTGTTTGTCTTTGCTGCCATTCATCCCAGTGTATTCCTTACTGGGTCATCTCTAGACCAGTAGCTGTCTTCTGTTTTGTCCCATTTTAATTTCTTCTGAAATGTCCGCAATGAGCGCGAGTAGGTGGCAGGCAGGTGGAGAGGTCCCTCCAGCTCACATCTTTCCACTTTCAGTTGTTACCAGCTTGTTATCAGCAGGTACATGATGTCGGCTGCCTAAAATTGCCTGAGAATATCTTAGGAGGTAGGCATGCTGCGACAAGTAGGCAAACTTGGCTTCTCCAGCAGATTGTTGCTAGTGAAATACTGTATACTACTGGCTTTCACATTTTCTGTATGCATACATTTGAGAGCTGTGCTGTTTAATTATATGTAAGATCGAAAAACAAGGCCTGGCCTGGATAGTATTTATCCAAGTCATGGCCCAATGGTAAGTGGACTGGGTCACTTAAAATAATGGTTTGTCATCTTTTAAAATTTATCTTTTCAGGGTCATTATAATTATGCATAACATCAGGTTGTATTTCCATCCATTCGTCTTGCATACTTATCTAGTACAGAGTCATTAGCCAAACTCTATGTTCTTATACAAAATGTTTTTTTCTGAAATGAAAACACTTTTTGACATTGCTTTTTAAAATGATCTTAGTTAAATTTGGGAAAAGTATACATTTTTACACATCTATACACAAATATACAAGATTAAACATAAATTACATCTTGGTGGAATCCTGTTGGTGTTTTAAGCTTTGCTGTAATAACATTGGAGGTTTGGTGCGCAAGCTATGCTTTTAACACCATTTGTTATTGTCAAGGAGTCAGACATCAGTGTGCAGACACAATGTCATGTTTCAAGTTCCACACCAGTCAAACAGGCAACAAATCAAAAATATAGAAAAGAATGTAAATATACAACATTGACAAAGCAGTTTGGGGAAACCCGATGTTTTTTGACCAAGGAAGAGTTCTTCTTCATGCAAATACTGAAAAGAAAGAAATTTATAGAGTCAATTATGATTGATACTAGCTGAGCCTAGAATCTATATTATAATCAGCAAAAATACTTTGGCCTACGCTATGTAATGTAATATATTTTTATTTGTCCCTGTGTTTTCAGTAAATGATAGTGTTCCACAGTAGGATGTGTGTATTTTGTAAAATAATATAACAATTTGTTACCTTTGTTTTATTACAGGGTCTATGATATTGCTTTTCTGCTTTAAATTAAGGTGAATAGAAATTACACATATACACACTCACACACATTCAGCTGCCCATTGGTTGCATGACAGGAAATCAACTGGGCAATCTATGATTCTGTCAAGTCGATTTCTTCCTCTGTATCCCGAGGGCAACAGCATAAGCAGCAGCGCCAACAGCGACGTCTGAACCAGCGCCACGCTCTTCCAAGTCTCCGGGGAGCTGCACGTGACTCTCTTTCTATCACAATTTGTCCTTGCACCCTTTCCTCTTGTTCCAAAGAGGTGCCCGTATGCACAAGATGCTCTGTGGATCTTTGCATCTCCCCATCTGTCTCTTCCACTAGTCTCCCTCCTGCATCCTCCACCTCTGTCAGCCTAGCAGTTTTTTCGGTGTCATAATCCTCTAGTATGTCTGCATCCACCATTTCCCAAAGTCTTACAGGCTCAGTGTCTTTTTCATGGTCAAGATTCTCTGTTGTTTTCATCAGTTGCTCCTTTATTGTATCAGTCTTCGGGTCTTTGTCTTCCGCTAGTCCTTCCACCACTTTGGACATGTCATCCCTAAACATCTTATCGATGTCTTTCTTATTCACACTCTCTATCTGTCGTTCAATATCATCCTTCTCCAACTGAATCTGCTTCCATTGCATTTCCATTCCTTCATTTTCTTTGTTTATTTCAGGACTTGTTACTGAAATAACTGTCTCCTTTATTTTCACTCCCCTTGATCGATCAATTTTTTCTGTCTCTTTTAGAAGGTCTGTTTTCATTTGTTCAATCAACTCCCTCTCCTGTTGCATCTTTTGCATCCAGTTGTCCATTTGCTCTTTCAGTTTCTGTAATTCCACCTTAAGCTGTTCAATGCCATGTTTCTTCATTTTTATCTCTTCCAGTTCCTTGTCCATTTCTCTTTTCTGTCCATCAATCTCAGCTTTCATCGCTTCCATTTTGTTAATCTCCCTCATTGCATCATCTCTGGCTTGATCACTTTTCATTTTCTCATTTTTAAGATCAGTTTTCATTCGTTCAATCCTGACCACCTCCTGCTGTCTTTCCTGTATCCAGTTTTCCATTTCGTCTTTCAGTTTCTGTAGCTCAGACTTCAGTTGTTTAACATTGTCCTTTTCCTGCTGTTTCTGTTCCTGGAATTCCATAATTTTCTTTTCTTCGTCAGTTTCAGGTTGCGTTAGTGAAATAGTTGTGTCTCTTACAGTTTCTTCCTGTTTTTTATCAATTTTCATTTTGTCTTTTTGAATTTCTTTTTTCATTTGTTCAATCAAGCCTTTCTGTTCCTGTCTCTCTTGTATCCAGATGTCTATGTCCATTTTTTGTTTCTGTAGCTCCAACTTGATTCGTTCAATATCATTTTTCGCCCTTTTTATTTTCTCAAGTTCCATTTGCATTCCCTCTTCTTGTCCTGCCATCTCAGCTTTAATGGCTTCCATTTTGCCAATGTCCCTCTTTAAATCACCTCTGGCTTGATCAATTTTCACTTTCTCATTTTGAAGATCCTCTTTCATTTGATCAATCCTGATCACCTCTTTCTTTTTCTCCTGTATCCACTTCTCTATTTCCAGTCTCTGTTTCCGTAGCTCTGACTTTAGTTGTTCGATATTACCCCTTTCCTGTTGTATCTGTTCCCATTGCGATTCCATAATTTTCTGTTCCGCATCCATTTCAGTTTTTGTCTCCCTTATAATCTCTTCTCTTAACTGAACAGTCTCCTCTTTCTCTTTTTGAAGGTCTGTTTTCATCTGTTCGATCAAGTCTTTCTCTTGCTGCCTCCCTTGTATCCAGTTGTCTATGTCCATTTTTTGTTTCTGTAGCTGGAGCTTCATTTGATTGATTTCATCTTTCTCCCTTTGAATATTGTCCAGTTCCTTCTCCATTTCTCTTTTCTGTCCAT